CCACTTTTTTTTTTCATCTCGCCTGGCGTAAAAAACAACTGTAGGTTATTTAGGTTTTAGATAAATTAGCTGATCACATTTATGGAGCTTATGAATCCTATCATACTTATAGCTTTGTGGTCATGGATCCAAAAGTAATTTATGCCAGATGTGTACGGACTTGCAGAATAAGTTGACCATTTACTTGGAATCAATGGAATTTTTTGCACACTACCACCCCCATAGTGGACTATTAAAATGGGTTATAAATGTTATTGAGACAATTGGGTACTAGTTCAGTAAATAAACCTTTCATGTTAAAAGTCCTTTTTAATCAGGTACTTTTCCTTCCATTAAGGTTAGCTGGATTATGAATTAAATGCTTCAATACACCTTCTCCAAGTCACTTCTTATACTGGTAGTAACTAGCTTCTAGCTAAATATAGATGGATGTAGATGATTAACGGAATTACAGATGTAAATGCAGGGCATCATTCACAAAGACCTGTCCCTTAAAAGCAATCTCAGTATTTCTTCCTTCTTATTCATACCAAATCTTTTATTCATTGAAGACATTACTGGTCGTTGGGTTGACCAGGTTATCTGATGTACTGGTAATCAATAATACATATCAGTACCAATAACATCCCATTACACCCAACTCTATTCTATTTCAAATCTAGTAATTTACCAAATCATTGCACATGATTATCATATTTATGGGGGTTGGATGGTTAGTGTGGTTTTGATTCCCTAGTTGTACGTGACAAGGAGTAGGGTTACCTGTCCAACCTTGTGGGTTTTCTGCTGGTTCTCCGGTTTCCTCCCACTGCTAAAAACCCCTACGCTCAAGGGAATTATTGAAATAAAATTGAACCATATATGTTAGTCCCAAAGTGGAGGTTAAACTCAGGATGCACCCATATTTTGCAGGAGATGGATAGAGAACAAGCCAAAAACAAACACGATTTTTTGTACAATCAGGGACAATAATCTAGAAAGTTATGGTCTGAAATGTGCAAATATCAAAAGGGACTGAGATCTTTGGGATATAAAGATATGTTTCATCAAAATCGGATAAAAATTGTGACCTCTAGAGGGTCCACAACCATTCGTATTACATACTTTTACACAATTTGCGTACAAGAGCAGCTATTTTGTGGGCAGTTTCATTTCAATTTTCCCGAAATACGAATTCAACCTTTAAAATCTGAAAAAAAAATTGTGACCTCTGCAAGCTAAAAATGTTTTTTTTCCAACAATCAGCATCCATAATCCAGGAAGTTACTTCGGATATGTGTGATTATCAAAAGGAACCGAGGTCTTAGTGTGTAACGGTGATATATCAACACCTTTTTTTTTAATCAGATAAAAATTGTGACATCTAAATTTTGTACAATCAAGGGCCTTAATTCAGGAAGTTATGATCAGATATGCGCAAATATCAACACGAACCAAGATCTGTGCGTTATAAACATGTATTTCAAGTTTCATCATTTCAAGGGTCCACAACCTTGATATACCAGTTGTTTACACTATTTGCGTGCAAGGGCGACCATTTTGTCAGACAGTTTTGGTTCGATTTTCACGAAATTTGTACTCGACCAACATTACAGTGTAACGGTGATAGATTCGAACATTTTTGTAAATCGGATAATAATTGTGACCTCTAGAGGGACCATAAGTTAAAAACACGATTTTTATACGCCAGTGGGAGGAAACTGGAGGACCCGGAGAAAACCCACGAGGTTGGACAGGCGACCCTACTCCTTGCCACGTACAACCGGGGATTCGAAACCACGCCAGTCGACTCAATGACAGACTTTATGATACAGCGCGCGCACGCTAACCATTCAGCCATCCAACCCCCCTTCAGAGAATACAACTACACAGATGATACGTTTGAAGTACAAGGTTAGTCATGGTAACCAGTGATGTCATAATGTTGATATGACGTTATAACTTCGATGACATATAGATAAATATAGACAACTATACATCATTTATCTATATTTAGCTTATTCTTTATACCTCGGGGAAGATAGAGCCAAACAGTTTGTGAATGTTATTGTTGTAGACTTTTGGTTAGGTCTTATGTCTGAAGCTTCCGAAGCCCCACTCATTTTAATTGTTATTTTTATACGCTCACATTTTCATGTGGACGTATATTGTTGTCGCCCCTGTCCGTCCACAATTGTTTGTGGACACTCTACAGGTCATAATTTTTATCCGATTTCAACGAAACTTGAAATGTAGGTTTATCTCCCTAAGATCTCGGTTCCTTTCGATGTAACTTCATGAATTAAGGCTCCTGATTGTATTAAAAATCGTGTTTTTAGCTTGTGGACCCTATAGAGGTCACAATTTTTATACACCCACATTTTCATGTGGACGTATATTGTCGTTGCCCCTGTCTGTCCAGACGTCTGTATGTCCGGACGTCCGTCCACAATTGTTTGTAGACTCTCTACAGGTCACAATTCTTATCCGATTTTGACGAAACTTGAAATGTAGGTTTATCCCCAAAAGATCTCGGCTGCTTTCGATATTGGCATGTATTAGACCGAAACTTCATGGATTATGGCCCCTGATTGTACGAAAAATCACGTTTTTAGCTTGTTGACCTTATAGAGGTCACAATTTTGAACCAAATTTGATGAAACTTGACATGCATGTTTATAACCCAACGATCTTGGATCCTTTCGATATTTGCGCCCTTCCTGAATTATAGCCCCTGATTGTCAGAAAAATCGCCTTTTTTACCTTGTGGTCCCTCTGGAGGGCACAATTATTATCCGATTTAAATATACGTTTGATTTTGTCACAGTCACACCGTAAGGAAGATCGAGTTCGAATTTCGTGAAAATCGGACCAAAATTGCTGGACAAAATGGCCGCCGTTTGTATGCGAATGGTGTAAAAGTATGGTATATCAAGGTTGCAGACCCTGTAGAGGTCACAGTTTTAATTCGATTTTGATGAAACTTGAAATGCATATTTATAACCCAAAGATCTTGGTTCCTTTCGATATTCAGGCATATCAGATTGTAACTTCCTTAATTATGGCCCCTGATTGTATGAAAAATCATGTTTTTAGCTTGTGGTCCCTCTAGAGGTCACAATTATTATCCGATTTAAAAAAAAAACGTTAGAATATATCACTGTTACACCGTAATATTTATTGAGTTTTGGGAAAATCGGGCCAAAAGTGCCGGACAAAATGGCCGCCCGTCGTACGCAAATAGTGTATGTCATCTGGTATATCAAGCTTGTGTACCCTCTAGAGGTCACAATTTTGATCTGATTTTGATGAGAGTTGAAATACATGTTTATAACCCAAAGATCTTGGTTCCTTTCGATATTTTCGCATGTCGGATCATAACTTCCTGAATTATGGCCCTTGAATATACAAAATATCACTTTTTAGCTTGCCGTCCATGTAGAGGTAACAATTTTTATCCGATTTAAAAAAACATGTGAATATATCACCATTACACACTAAGATCTTGGTTCCTTTTGATAATCGCGTATATCTGAACTTAACTTCCTGGATTATGGCTCCTGATTGTTCGAAAAATCACAGCAGGGGACTATTAAAATGGGTTTGTCCGTCTGTCTGTCCGTCAGTCTGTCCGTCTGTCACACTTTTTGGGACACAATAACTCTCCTTCTAATTGACCTAGAATGTTCAAACTTGGTGTAGGTGTTTATTAGGTCAATACCTTGATGGAGTTCAAAGATGAGCATTTTCTGGTTAGGGTAAGCAGAGATAAGCAATTTGATTGGTTGATGCTTTGGGACACGATAACTTTAGTTCTAATTAAGTGAGAGTGATGAAACTTGGTGGTTTAGTTTCATTACATCAATACCTTGACTAAGTTCGATAATGAGCATTTTCTGCTCAGGGTAAGCAGAGTGATAAGCAATTTGATTGGCCGAGACTTTGGAACAGAATAACTCTCATTCTAATTGAGTTAGAATGTTCACATTTGGCATAGGTGTCTATTAGGCGAATGCTTTGATGGAGTTCAAAGATGAGAATGTTTAGCTTGGGGTAAGCAGAGATAAGCAATTGGTTGATATACATGAGACACAATAACTTTAGTTCTAATTAAGTGAGAGTGAGGACACTTGGAGTATAGCTTTATTACATCAGTACCTTGACTAAGTTCGATTATGTAAAATTTTCTGCTGAGGGTAAGCAGAGCGATAAGCAATTTGATTGGTCGAGACTTTGGAAAAATATAACTCTCCTTCTAATTGAGGTAGAATGTTTAAACTTGGTGTAGAGAGTGATGAAACTTGGTGTATAGTTGATAATCAGTTTGATTGCTTGATACTTTTGAAAAAAATAAATGTGCAATTAATTATTATGTGTCATCTATTTATTTTGGGATTTCGGCGGGGGACATCAGCCTCACTGTTGGCTTGTTAATAATTAAGATAACATTTCAGGCCTAAAGAAAGACCTGCAATTGGCAGAATTAGCTCTTGCATAATCGTATGTTTACTTAATGTCTTGCCCTCCACCATTAAACCACACATAATCTTAATAATACATCTCTGTTAAAGCGTAGTAAATCTGTGCAATATAAACCAGCTTAACCTATAATCATAAGTTGGCCTAAGAATAGTCTTCTTTATAATAATATGATCTTTTAAAAAATTTATATGCTACTGAATTCATTTACTTTAGGATGTGTATGTTCTCTTCCACAAAATGTCAAATATTGTGATTTCGGTTATGTAATTTTAGCAACAATGGACTTATAAAAATTTATTGTTAATAAGAGGTGCAGATTACGAGGGGTACCCAACCTGACTGGAATGTGATCAGATACACGGTCTCTGTCTAATCTCCATTCTGTTCAAAATTTCTTGTGAATACTAGAGACTACATTTATATCCCAATCTTATTAAAATTTATGTGTGTTACGAGGTCTGTCTAATTTCTGCAACTGATAGTGACTTCGTGTAAATGCTCTAGCCACAATGGTACACTAAACTATTTGTTTATTGTAGGTGCTGTATTAAGAGCTATGTCTACACGCCCTATAACATTAGCTGATGTTGGTTACAAAGGGACACAGCTCAAGATGACTCTTCTCTTACAAGGTCAACAAAGAGTGGTCTTTAAACCCAAATGGTTAGTTAATAATTATTCTGCCCCAAAAATATTCTTTGATAACTAGATTAAATGTATTAAATTACTGTATGACAACCTCTAGCAAAAATGGTTTCAACAAGAAGTTTTTCTTTTGTACCTTCCGTACTTTGCACACCTTGATCAGTTTTCATTAGTATACCCTTGATACTTTCAGGTACACAAGGGATTATGTTATAACTGATTCACCTGTAAGTGGCACTGATCGACATAATGGTGAAATAGCTGCTTTCCATCTTGGCAGGTTTGAAATTTGATTCTTATTAACTCTATTACATCTGTCTACCTCTTCTCGATCTGATTAAGGCACAAATCCTATTTCGTTTCGTTCTTTATAGTTCAAAATTTCGTTTTATTTGTCTGTACTACACTAGGATCTGGAAGAGTTGTTATATAACCTGCGTTCTGGATATTGTTAGGGATTAGCCAATGAAACTGTTTGTTATGGCGACTAGGGCTGGCAATCGATCCTGTTTCCACTATCGATTATCGCCGACCATCCGCCGATCAATAATCGATAATATCGGCAAATTATTTTGACTTACAATTGGTTTGAAAACAATCATAATTTGCACATGAATAACGTATCATATGCGAATTTTTATGTTGTGATATCATTCTGTATACATGGAGAATTTTTTTTTCATTTATTTGACATTTGACAATAAAATAATAGCATTTCATAGCAAAACCAAGGTGTAGAAAGAAACTCAATCAACTTCGTTTGGAAAACAGAACCTGACACCGCTCGCCATAGTTTTGTCACTTATGACCTAAATAATACTGAGTAAAATGTAGTTATTTCCCTTCGAATTCTTCAGTTCGCCGTAACACTTATTGCGGTGATTTCTTCGCACTGGGGAAAATAAAAAACTCCTCTTCAGACATTTCTTCGCAAATTTCTTAATAAAATAATAAATTTTATAAAGGGAAAGTACGTGTTTGACTTAGAAACAGAGAAGCCGAAAGAACTGAAGAGTTAAAATAAGGGGCACAACTGGATGTTACGTGAAACCATTGGCTCTCATCATGACATAAGCGGCCAAAATTTCTCACCGGTTGCGTCTCGCGTGAAAAAAAACAACAAACGTGTGTGTTTTATTATGACTATTGTGTTTAATTACAGTTCTAGGCCCAAGCAAAGAATACAGTGATAAGGATTATTTTTATGGACTTCTTCTTGCAAGTGAAGTACCTATAATTGCGCGATAATCGATATTTTAAAACTGTATCGATAATCGATTTTCAAAACACTTACCGACGATTATCGGCAATTATCAATTATTTCCGCCAGCCCTAATGGCGACTTCTTGGCGTGTGATGCATGGAACTGTGGGTAAACCATTGGAAACATCAACACTGATTGATTAATCACTGTCTGATATGAATCCTGACGCGACCTCCCAATAGCACTGGTCAGATCTTCATGTAGTGTAGCCCATCGAAAGTATAAAAAAAACGAAACAAAATATAGATCTGTATTTTAATCAGATTGACCTCTTCTGAAAGTTACAGTTGAAAATCATTAGGATTCGTCTCTTATATAGTGGACAGGAGTGACAACAATATTTAAGATGGCGGTGGACTTGTATCGGAATACCATGATGTCATCCAACATTAAAAACACTTTTAACTGACTATTAGTAATAGTATTACCGTAGATTGCAAAATTACGGAAAGTTCAATTTCGAAGAAATGTAGACCAGAGTTGTTGACACAGAGAGAAACAAAGTTCAACACCTACTCAACACAAACAAGATCATTTCGGGACTATCACATGGTACAATTTTTATTTCAGTAAATCATCTGCACATAGAGATCTTTAGAAGTAGGACAAAAACCTGAGGCAGGGTTAGGCAGGTGACCACTCGACTCAATGATAGACCTTATAATCTAAAGATCGATAGAATTTTATATCTTTGTAAATACTAATAGGAATTAAACCATAAAACTGTGATAAACCCAAACATGGGTCATCTTCTTATACAGACATTCTGATTTAATACATGTTATATCAACTACTGAAAGGAAACTAGCACTTTACTTGCTGAACCACATTACGTGGTGGCTCCATTTAAATACCAACACTTTCATACTGAAATTTAATTTTGCTGAACCACTAGTTCGAATTTACCAATGAAAGAACTACAGTGCAACTTTCATTGCCTGGTAAGTAAATACAGTGGTTTACAAATAATTACATGTTTTAAAAATTTCAGAATTCTACAGTTTCGTAGGACTCCTCTTGTGTCTGGACGGAGAGTGAATATGAAGCGTGAGATACAAGGAGTTGGTAGTAAGACATTATTAAACACATTCTACACAAAGGGTAAGAACTACTTGCGTAAGATAAAATCAGATCAATTATGTTTGTATAGTATGGCATACAATAAGAATTGTGTCTTTGAAATTTTATTTGACTCAGGTGATAATACAAATTTCTATAATGAAAAGGGAGGTGTTTATGAGATTAATGTTTTTCAGATAATAATAGACTACATTTGTCTATTGATGATGTTTTGTTTGATTAAAATACATGTTCTAAGGTTGATGTTTTTATTGTGTTTTGGGGGGTGGCCGAATGGTTAATGCATGTGCGTTTGATCATTGAGTCAAGTGGCGTGGTTTCGAATCCACGATTGTACATGACAAGGAGTAGGGTCACCTGTTGAATCTCATGGATTTTCTTAGGGTCCTCCCTTTTCCTCCCACTGCTAAAGACCTCTACGCACTGGTGAATTATTGAAATAAAATTGAACCATTTGTTATTCCTGAAATGACATGGTTTGTCTATCTCTTTATTGTATTTCATATTATAATACAATATGGATGACAATGAATTTATGTTTATAAATTGTTGTTTTTGTTTGTTTCAGATGGAAATATGTGTTTCTATGGTAAATGCTACTACTGTAAAGGGCCAGCTACAGGTGTTTGTGCAGAAGGTGAAGTGTTGGAAGGAACAGTGGTATTATGGATGCCATCAACTTTTAAACTTAAACTTCATAAACATCCATGGTCTAGAACATACAGAGAAGGAAGACTTGCCAGGTAAGTGAGAGGCATTATCTACATTGGAACTCGAAAATATTGATTAATCATGGTGATTCTTTGTCAACTGCCAACAATATGTCACATTTGAACACATTATCAATAAGGTCATTGGATTAGTTGTTTCCATAAAGTAATTAATAAATGAGACAGAGAGAGATGAAGAAATGTTGTTTAAGGTCCACTTGACATAAACTAGTTATGTTTGGGATTAGCATATGGTACAAATTATTTCATTTAGTCGCTTGCGCATAGGGGTATTTAGCAGCAGGGAGGAAACCAGAGAATACCCATACGGTTAGACATGCTCCTTGTTAAATTGAAATCATACTACTTGACTCAATGATAAATCATTTGGCCTCCATTAATCAATAAGTAGCAGATGGACTAAGGCACTCCATTGTATGTCATAAATGTTACTTTTGTAGAATGTATTTTTTCGTCAGAAATGCCTGGCTTAATTCAAATCAAGGGAGGTAAATCACTTATTGTACAGGGCTATTTTAATTACAATTGTTCTAGCACTGTATAGGTCTACTCAAAAGAAAATATATCAGTTTTTTTCTTAAATAAATTTCAAATGGGGTACATCAAACTCATTTAAGTTATTTCACAGACATCCTACACGAATATTCTAATAAACAAGTTGGTACTGAGAGAAGCTCCAGTTAAGACCAGCACTATGCCTGATCATGGTGAATGGTCAAAAAGTAGTAAAAGTTCCACCGCAAATCGAACAGATTTACAGATTTAACAAGAACAAAAAAAAGCTTGATACTCTTTTGTGACACCCTGGCCATTAATTAGTATATGTGGATATCATATTTTGAATAAATAGTAAAACCTAAATGGCTTTAAACAAAGGATGCTTTTGATCAGAATATATCATTTGATGAAGAAAGGTCTTCAGGTTTTATATACATGTCATACAATAAGAATATCTTTTCTGTTTTATTTGTGAGTTAAATCTTGATTTTGTTAATGTAGTTGGGAGACTGATGATGGGTATTGTAGAAAGGTACAGATGATAGACTATTATAGAGATGGTCCTATATTACTAGATATAATAGATACAGCTATATTTGATTATCTAGTAGGTAATGCAGATAGACATCATTATGAAACATTCCATAACACTACAGAGACAATGTTGTTGTTATTAGATAATGGTAAAAGGTAATATCTTACATGAAATTTATTTTTATATGACAATAGTTAACCTGTAGAACCAATCAATTTTAATCATGTACTGGTTTCATTTCCTCTTAATTTGTTTCATACATCGATAGTAGAATTTCAGATTGTGATTTGTGTTTTGTTATAGATTTGAGCCAGGGGCACAGATCCCAAAAATGAGTGGTGGGGACAGTCCATGCGCGGGCAACTATTGGTAAAGAGGGGGGTTCTGGGGTCTTACCCCAAAATTTTTTGAAAATTAGACGCTCTAAAACGCACTCTGTGGGTATTTTCAGCATCATTTTCTGGCTAACAATTCTAATCCCTGAGGCAGCAAATGATACGAAATCTAATCTAAAGACAAATCTTCAAGCCACCGTACACGATTTATTCTCTCATGTACACTACAAGAACTAGAAATATTTACACTACTGAGATTCCAGCTCCGCCTCCATTCCCAGTAGTGTTCGAAGACTACCTAAAGTCTTTGAGCAAGATGTGTATTCAATTGGATACACAAATGTACAGGCCTACAAATCTTTTAATTTATATAAACTAAAACAAGCCACACACACAGCTAAACATATCAATATTCAATCCCAATTGAAGTAAATGTAACATTTTACTGTATTATTCATTGGTGATTAAAAATCCGATGGCAAAGGCAAATTTTCCCACGTTAAAATTAAAAAATGGCGACCACATTGAAATAATAACTTTTCGCTTTATTTTAAAGTTAATTCTAGCTGTTTATATTGTTCCCATAGCTATTTTAATGATCATCATTCACATAGTACCAGTTGTATTATATTATCTATTTTGAATGTGACAGTGGTGATGTTATGTTAGAAATTATGTGTTTGGAATTTTATAATTTGTGTGATTTATCATCCAGTATACCAGATAAAAACAAAATCTTGACCCTTTAATACCCAGCGTATCAGATATGAACACCTACACGATATACATATTATTATAATCCCTATGGAATATTTTAATTATTTACTGTTATAATATGAATTATCTCTTATTCCCTGTTAAATAAAAATCGGTCACCGGGTGCAGCTGTACAACTTCAAGGACCCTGACCTCAAGTGCCTGGGACCAACTCTACACTTTCTGAAATGTCTATAAAAGCTCTGGAATGATTTTAAAAAATAAACAGTATATCATGCCCCCACCACTAAAACTATTGGTGGGTACGCGTACCGTGTCCCCACCGGGATCTGCGCCCATAATTTGAGCAATAATTTAAAAATAAATCACTTTTATAAATGTAAATCTTGTTTGAAAGGCACACTTTAATCTTGTGATTCTGATTGTAACAACTTAAGATCACAACAACATGTGAGAAAGACATTTTCACGATCGGTTGGAGTGGGGAAAATGGGGCTTTTAAAAGCTAAGTTCAGTACAACTCTTATATAATTCTGTGTTAGACTTCGGTTGACACCTTAATACTGGTGACATTGGCTGCTATAGAGGTGGTGGACAACCCAGACATTATTGGTTTTTACGCCTTTTCACAGTAAAGTTAAGTTGTTATGGACTCTGTGTCTTGTTGTTGGTTTTGTTGTGTTAATATTTCAACTATGCAGTTGCCTGTCATACCAGCTTTACAGACTAATGAACTTTTATATTATCATCTAAAGCTAAATATCACTAGATTTCTCTTTACTGTATCAATTTGCCTTGTTTGTAAACACTCTGATTTTTTTGATTTTTGTTTAGTTTTGGTAATCCGTTTCATGATGAACGATCAATATTAGCACCGTTATATCAGTGTTGCAGGTAAGTTATGAACTATATGTAAGAATATATACCCTCACTAACTTCAATTAATGATCAAAGGCTCTCAGTGATAGTGATAATATGAATAAAGTCTTTGCTTAAGGTATACATGTAAATAAGTTTCATGAAAATAATACTTGCTATAAATATGGGACATTGCATTTTGTAAGTATCAAGTAATTCCCCAAAATATGCAAGCATCAACTTTATGTTCAGGACAGGTGTACTTGAATTTATAATAATGGGTAATGTGACATAAGGATGAATCCTATAATAAATTGATAAACTCTTGTAATCATGTTATGAAAAAAAGTTATTTATGCCTTGTTTTAAAACATTCATGGTTAATGAATAAACCCTTTTGAAAACCCCTTGTTGGAATTCGATATAAGACTAGGCCGTGGCACTTCTGCCCAGGAAAATTATCCCTCATAGCACACTGTAAACCCTATTTCATTTAATGTTCTTTTGAAAACCAGCAAATTCCCAGAATTATTTATACACATTATAGAAAAAAGTTAATTTAGGATGTTTATCGTATGTTCATAAAGAAGGTTTTCATTGTATTTTTATACACCCACAATTTCTTGTGGACGTATTATGCCATCGCCCCTGTCTGTCCGGACGTTCATCCGTACGCAATTTGTTTGTGGACACTCTACAGGTCACAATTTTTATCTGATTTTGATGAAACTTGAAATATAGGTCTATCTCTAAAAGATCTTGGTTCCTTTTGATATTGGCATGTGTTGGACCATAACTTTATGGATTATGGCCCCTGATTGTATGAAAAATCATGTTTTTAGCTTGTGGACACTCTAGAGGTCACAATTTTCACCCGATTTTGATGAAACTTGAAATGCATGTTTATAACACAAAGATCTTGATTCCTGTCGATATTCGCACATATCGGATCATAACTTCCTGAATTATGGCCCCTGATTGTAAAAATCGCGTTTTTCGCTTGTGGTTCCTCTTAGAGGTCACAATTATTATCTGATTTAAAAAAAACCCTTCGAATATATCACCATTACACCATAATGTGAGTTTGAATTTTGTGAAAATCGGATAAAAACTGCCGGACGAACTGGCCTATCATTGTACGCAAATAGTGTAAAAGTATTAATACCATGGTTGTAGATACGTTTAAAAAAACCTTTACACCCTAATGATGGTTGAGTTCGAATTTCGTGAAATTTGAACTAAAACTGTCCGACAAAATGGCCACCCCTCGTACACAAATTGTGTGCAAGTATTTAATCCAAAGGTTGTGGACTCTCTAGAGGTCAATTTTTGATGAAGCTTAAAATATATCTTTATATCCCAAAGATCTCGGTCCCTTTCGATATTCACACATTTCAGACCATAACTGATTGGATTATGGCCCCTGATTGTACGAAAAATCATGGTTTTTTTTTCTTAGCTTGTTCTCTATCCATCTCTTGCAAAATGTGGGCATATCCTGCCTGGCAGCCTCTGTGAAAAAAATTGTTAAATTCATTAAAATAATTAATTTGTGGTCAAATGATTATTAGATTTACTTAGAGACATTCCTTGAGTCAACTCCACAGATGATTTGTCACTAGTGTGGGTATACTGTGTTTGCATCCAACACTCATTGTACAGAAGAATCCCTTGACAGACAGTGTCTGCCATATGGCTGTTTTTAAAGAAATGTTTTGAATATTTGGTCTGTTTTATTTTTTAGCGTTCGTGTAAAAACCTGGCAGCGTTTATTGTCACTACAAGATGGTATTTTAAGCTCTGTTTTAGGTGGTGTTCTAGATGGGGATCCTGTTGCACCAGTTATAAATGATAAACATCTAATAGCATTGGATAGAAGATTAAAGTCAGCACTTAATGAAGTAGACATCTGTATTTCTAAATATGGAATGAAAGTCATTGTGACGTCCTGATGAATTGTGATTAGAAAAGAAAAAACTTATTTTAAAAGAAAAACTTATTTAAAAATAAGTTCCAGATATATTTTAGTGAATGAAACTGATTAATGGTGCTAGAAGACTCTTGTAAAACTTTATCCAACCTAGTCCTGTGTAAGAATCAAAATTATGTGATACTTTTGTTAAGAAATTTCAAGACACTTGTGCAGTTTTAGAATCAGATCCCCTAAATAAGTTATGTAATCCTGTTTTAGCAAATCCAGCAATTGTTTGATATTTTTGATTTGACATTTAACTAAACATTGGCCTGTAACCATAGAGATGTTATAACATCTCCAATGGAACTTTATTGAAAAGAAATTGGCAACTAGAAATCGGTATGGCGTGCATTTTCCTGATACACCCCCGAAACTGCCTGAGGTAACCAGCAATTGAAGTAACAAGGGATAACTTCAGTCAGTTTTATAGAAGGATAACTTGTGTTTTCCTTTTGCTTTTTTCACTTCCATTTCTTGAAATCTTCGTTACACATCTATTTTAGCAATGATCTCTGTGTTAAAATTTTGTCCGCGAGCTAAAAACAATGGCCAGCTAGCTCCAATACTAATAAAACTTGTTACTGACAAAGGATTTCATTCACTAGTTTAACATCTCAATGCATTTAAAAGAAATATATTCCGAAGAATCTCATCGATTATTTGTGGATCGTGATAAGACTGGTGGATTTATTTTTATAGACAGGCTATGTAAATATAAGTATGTAAATATTAACACTGATTATACCCTATAAAATGTAAATGTACATATATGAAAGTACAGCAATAAAACTGTATTTATAGTACATTATTCTTGCCACTCACTAATACTTGCATTGTTATGTTGACAACTTAATTGTATGATACTTGTCAAGGTTTGTTTAAATAAAGTTACTTGAACCAAAAGGGGTGGGAAAGGACACCATGAAAGGGTAGATTTAGATATTTCTATATGCCCACATTTCGTTTGTGGACACGGTACAGTAACAATTTTTAGCCATGGCAAAACTTAAAACATATGTTTAAATCCCAAAGATCTTAGTTCCTTTCGATATTGTCGCATGTCGGACCGTAACCTCCTGGATTATGACCCCTGATTGTATGAATATTTGCTTATTTTAGATTGTTCTCTGTCCATCTCTTGCATAATGTGGGCATATCTTGCATGGCAACCGCATGTTTACTTTTTGGGGTAGTCTAAGGGGCCTTACAACATTTCCACAAAAGCTTGTTCAGATTATAATATGCCTGTTTATGTTGATTTTTAAAAAAAAAAAAAGAAAAAAGTATTGTTACTAAGCAAAATTTTCAACGCACACATACTCTTAAAAGACCTTGGGAGTCCAGATCTTGTTGATTTCTTTTGAAAAATGGTTTTTATGCCAAAAGATAAGAATTTAAACCAGGTGGACAAACCCACAAATTAACAGTAGGGCACCTCAGCATCACTTATGAGAAAGTGTATATGGTTAACCACATTGATAATTGTGTCATAATGTAAATCACTGTGGTCTGAAACCATAAAAACACAATTGAGAAGTTACCTCCCTTTAATGTCAAAACTGAATATATATTACCATTTAGTATATATTACATGTATGATAGTCCGATTCGGTTTGTTACATAATTGCCATCCGTCGGTTTTTCGGGTAGAAATCGTAGAATAAGCTTTATTTTGTAGGTTTTGATGTTAAATGACAAAAAAACAATGTTGACATTTTTTCTGAGTAGGTCTTCATAGTATAGGAGACCATTTTCTGAGGGCAGCCATTTTGGGATAATATTGCAACTTATTAGGGTTTCACACTGCGAAGCTTGTGTGAAACACTATTGTTTTTGTTAAAATTATTATTCTTATTATTATTATTATTCTTCTTTTGTTTTGAGTAGATCTCAGCAACTACTTGTCGCATCGTTACGATTTCTTCGGTTTTACTGGGAAAGTGGGTGTGACTTAGAGGATAAAGCTATTTTGAACGTTCTGCGACAATGCGAAATGTCCGAAATCACCGAAGTTATCGTTTTTACAAATATTGCGGTAATTTTAACAATAATCATGGGATTTTAACTTTCGATACATTTTGGCATAGCTGGAGACAGGGCACATAGCTGCGCTACTTTTGATTTTTGATTTTCGGCAAATCTTCGCAGATATTAGGCGCTAAATTTAGAAAATTTAAATTTTTACAAAAAACTTTTTTATTTATGAATATTTTTTAGTCGTGTTTTACACAAATATAACGAGCCCTCTGACTTGGGCAAAAATGTGAAAATTTTTTGTCTCGGTAATTTTCCTTGGCCCCAATTGGCTAATTCAGTTTTTCAGTCCTAGATTAATTATTTATTGTTCGATTTGTATAAAACAAAGTTCATATGCTCCGTTGTCTCAATTGTCATTTTTTTTGTTACCAATAGTGTTATCTGTCGGCACCGGAAGTGGCGTAAATTGACAAAAAACTACAATTTTGACAGTTAGGTACCATTTTTCGAAAGCAAATATTATTTTTTTCAAATCTGGTATAACTGAAATTGTGCGCCCTTTAAAGGCGCACAAAATGTTGGAACCAGTTTTTTTAATTTCGATTCCGTTTTCGGGCTATTTCGATTAAAAGGTGAAAAAAGGTGTAAAATTAAGCTATTTACAACCCATCCAGCGTTTTCATATTTTAAAATATTACTTCGTAACTTTCATAAACTCGTAGCAATAATCTATACGGAGAGAATGTATGTGAAAATTAATTTGTAATATGCGCAGTTGCCGAGAAATGGGCAATTTTGCATGAGTCACTTTTTACGCTAGTTTGCCTGTAAAAGAGTCAATTATTATTCGATTTTCATAAAAGTGACACCATTTGATGTGTAATGTCAATTTTAACTAGGTCAAACCAAATTAACCCTTTCAATATCACCGGAAATGACGTAATTTGGGCAAAAATTGTATTTATAGCCTTCGAAACCAGTAATTTATTCAAATGAGTCATATTTGTTATTTGTTTAAAATTTTGATATTTGATTCAAATCAACTAATACAATGACCCCTTACGATCATATAGATATCACAAAATGGTTTCTAACTTGTTCAGTTGCGGAGAAATAAGCAATTTTCAACAGGTCACTTTTTAAGGTTTTTTGTCAATAAAAGTCTCAATTATTATTCGATTTTCATGAAATTTTCACTGTGTGATACATAATGCCATTTACGATTTCATACAAGTAATTTCAGATTTTCATTATCACCGGAAGTAACGTCATTTTGGCAAAAACTGTATTTTTAGCCTTCAAAACAGATATTTTATTCAAATGAATCAGATTTGTAATGTTTTTAAAATTATGATATTTGATTCCAATCAACAAATAGAATGAACTCCTTCGATCATATAGATACCTCAAAATGGTTTCTAACTTGTACGGTTGCAGAGAAATAGGCGATTTTCTACAAGTCATTTTTCAAGGTTTTTGGTCTATAAAGGTGGCAATTATTATAGGATTTACATACAATTTTCACCATGTGATCATGCTATTTCTGATTTCATAAACCAATTTAACATTTTCATTATCACCGGAAGTAATGTAATTTTGACAGGATCACTGACATGTAGCAAATGAATTGATTGCTGGATTTGGTTGTTTCTGCGTCCATTTTATTTCATGTGTGCAATGCTTATGTGGAAACCTGTTTAACGGTTTCATTGGTACCGGAAGTGACATAAGTTCAAGGGTAACGTGGCACCGGTGAAACCCGTCATTACTGCTTCGCAGTTCTAGTTTGTTTTATTTTCACCTTATTTATAATGTTATCGACATATCAACTTTGATTTAGCAATGTATTAATATTGGCAGGGGTCGTGACTATATTTGAGATATTTCAAAGATGGCGACCATTTTTAGCGGGAAAATCGGACGATGTGCTGATTTTGATTAAGTAGTAGTGTTTGGTGTCAATATATATGTTATTTAGGGGCATAGATTCCATTTCTGCCAGTTACAACTGTGTAAAATGATCACAAGTTTACATATTTGCATATTTCCAAGATGACGGCCATTTTTGGCCGGAAAATGGGACGATGCGCTAATATTGATTAAGTAATCGTCTTTGGTATCAGGATATATGTTTTCGGGACGCAGATTCCATTTCTGCCAATTACAACTGTGTAAAATGATCACAAGTTTACCTATTTTGCATATTTCCAAGATGACAGCCATTTTTGGCGGGAAAACGGGACGATGCACTGGCATTGATTAAGTAGTCGTCCATATGTTTTCGGGGTGCAGATTCAATTTTTGCCGTATACAACTGTGTAAAATGATCACATATTTAGAATATTTCCAATATGGCTGCCATTTGTGGCGGGAAAATGGGACGATTAGGTAGTCGGGTTTTTGTGCAATATATGTTTTCGGCGGCAGTTCGATTTCTGCCATTTACAACTGCGTGAAATGGTGGTATGTTCATCCATTCAGCATATTTCTAAGATGGCCGCCGTTTGTGGTAGGACATTTTCTAAACACATTACTGAAAAGGTTTCTGGGGGGGGGGGGGTGGCTGAATGGTTAGCGTGCGCGCGCTGTATCATAAAGTCTGTCATTGAGTCGACTGGCGTGGTTTCGAATCCCCGGTTGTACGTGACAAGGAGTAGGGTCGCCTGTCCAACCTCATGGGTTTTCTCCGGGTCCTCCGGTTTCCTCCCACTGCTAAAGACCCCTATGCGCAAGCGAATTATTGAAATAAAATTTTAAAAAACCATGTTAGTCCCGAAATGACCTAGTTTGTGTCGAGTGGACGTTAAACCCCATTTCTCTCTCTCTCTCTCTCTCTGAAAAGGTTTCTGAATCCAGTTCTGCTATGTATAAGCTTGTAGCATGTTCCTGAAACCGAAAGCCAGTACCAGGAAAATATCACAAATCTGATTTTAAAACTTGGTGGTTTCATCCAGACTTTCAGTTTATGTTGTCTGTCAGTGAGAGATACAAAATTAACGATGGTTAAAAATGTGAACCTATTGAAAAGGTAATTAATAAATTAAAAAGTAGAATAGAATGTATATTATAAAGCAGTATACAAAGAAATAAAAACAAGGACTGCAAATGAAATAGTAATACTTGCTATAAGAAACCTTTGTGGCATAGATCATATTATTATCAAATGACCCCGAGCTGCTTGTGGAAGGAGTCGTTCAGAGGAATGCTGTAACGTTGGAAAAACAAACTATATCACCACTTAATCTACGACGTGCAAGTCAATTATGCCAACACAATTGAAAGAACTGGTGGCCGTGATGTCAAAGTGGCCGGCCACGTTGTCGTGTAAGTGGTGACATACTTTATGTCTCCAACTCAACAGCATTCCACATGCTCGTTCCACATTCAGCTTGGAAGTCAGTTGATAGCTTAATATATGCCACGAGGGCTTCTTAGTGTGTATTTCACTTACAGCCACGCCCCATCACCTTTAACCACGTTGCCGCCAGGCTGAAACGAAGGTCCTGACCGCATGCTGGCTACGCTGTTACGGCCTTTATGTCTATATAGGGAAAATACTGAGCTTCGTCCATCAACTCCAGTTTAGCATCCAAAGAGGCAACATCAAGAAAACTAGAAAATGTTCTTGATTGCTTGACTTTGGGTGGTTATCTGCTTTGAAACTGAACGAGGACAGGGTGAGCATGGCACATTCTCTGTGGGCGTGGCAAGAGAGCGTCTTACGCCAGGTAGACACGTCACGGGAGTGTGGTGATAACGTATACCGGTCTGACGGGTAACTGCAAGATCATGGTGGAACACTTTGCGCGTAGCCAGAGCTTGATTGGAGCGCGCTGGGCGTAGTAAGCGCTTGGTGTGGTCGTGGCATGAACATGATGGGCGCGTGTCAATTTGGCTTCATGCCAGTAGACCGAGTGAATAGGAAAATCGATTTCAGCTCAGGGGTCATCTCGGATGAGGAATTTTCATCGTTGGATAATATACCAAACGGGTACGACACGGTACTGGCTTTCAGGAATGTGCTACAAGCTAATAGCCTACGTAGCAGAATTGGACTCAGAAACCTGTAAATAACAACGACAAGTAAATAAATGATAATAATGTGTTTCGAAAACGTTCCCCGCCATCTTGGAAATATGCGAAATTGGTGGACATACGTCATTTAACGCAGTTGTATATGGCAGAAATCGAATCTGCGCCCCGAAAACATATATATTGACACCAAAGACAACTACTTTATCGAAATAAGCATATCGTCCGATTTTCACGCCACAAGTGGCAGCAATATTGTAAATATGATAAATATGTGAATATATGATCATTTTACAAGGTTGTAAATGTCAGAAATGGATTCTGCGTCCCCGTAAACATATATATTGACACCAAACACTACTACTTAATCAAAATCTGTACATCGTCCCATTTTCCCGCCAAAATGCTAAGTATGTGAACAAGTGATCAATGTACAAGGTTGTGAATGTCGGGAATGGAATCTGTGACCCCGAAAACATATACATTGACACCAAACACTACTACTTAATCAAAATCAGCACATGGTCCGATTTTTCCGCCAAAAATGGTCGCCAACTTGGAAATAACTTCGTGAAGTGATGGCAAAAAATCTGAAATATAGTCATCACCCCGGTCAATATTAAAACAATGACCGCTTTCAATATTAATATGTCGATAACATTATAAATAAGGTGAAAATAAAAAAAATAAGTTGCAATATTATCGCAAAATGGCTGCCCTCACATAATGGCCTCCCATACTATGAAGACCTACTCAGAAAAAATGTCAACATTGTTTTTTTGTCATTAAACATCAAAACATACAAAAGCCGACGGATTTACATTAGGGATCAAACTATGATGTTTTCATGTATTTCCTAATCTAATTGTTGAATTTATAAGAAAATAAAACGGGATGTTTTCATTTTAAATTATATGCCAAAACTTCATGGTTGGGTGGTATTACTGGGTGTGGGTGGAGGAGAGTAGACATTTAATTCAGAGTATAATATCCATGGGACTCTTGATCTGAAACCCATAACGTACCGTAATTGTAATTATACAGTGAATGAAATGGGGTTTAACGTCCTTCTGTTCTGCTCCGACTGGGTATTGAACACGGGCTGTAATTATACAAATAATTGTAATTTTATGGATTAAAATGTAATGTAATCGACCCCTTGTCTACCTTATGTGAAGCGGCTGTGACTTAGTGAGAAAGGCACAGACTGAGTGGCTAACCAAAGGTCCGAAAAGGATGGAACAAAAAAAACCAAGGGTCCTATGTATACGTTGGCGTGCACATAAAATAACCTTTGTCAGTTGGAATTCAAAATAAAGAGTAGGCTGTAGTACACGGCATGGCGTATGCCCGTCTTCATTTAGTCAAGACAGATAGGTTGGTAAAGTTACCTCGATTATTTAGGATTATTTAGACTTTCTACGGTATTCATTCTGGAAAATATCCTTTTCGTTATTCCACTATATTTTGTTTTCCTATACATGACATGACAGTGCAAATAAACGTGACCACATAATACTTTTGCCCTGACAATTTTCTTGCTGATGCTGTAGTCGTATACCTTCGATTTTTTTAAAATGGTTTAAAAAATTACTAAATAAGTGAAGGTAGGGAAGTGGGCGGAATACTTGTCTTACTCGGTCATTGGCAACCCACGTTACACCACTGTCCCCATCATACAGATAACTGGTTTATTATGTTTTGCTTTATTGTTTAGCATCAAAACCATTAATACAGTCAATTCCACATTTGCACATAAATATATTATATTTACATCTCAATTTGCCCATATATAATGATATATTAATGATACTCATCTTATAACTTAAGAGGCTAACAACATAAACATGATACCAAATGATCATGGTAAATGGTCTAGTCAATTAGTAGTCTATCATATAAGTCCAACACTAAGAAACAGTATCACTTCCATTAAGAAAAATATGACGGTTTTAATTCCATTGACATGTTCAATAAAATCCCTAATATGGTCACTGGTATTTTGCCGTGACACATGTCCGCCCGTCAACATTGTCTCGTTAACGCGAAGATGCTACAATTTTCAGTGTTCCGCGACCTTTTGTTCCTGCGTTACCCCTCCTTACCAAGTTAACGTGATACTGGCTACAGTTTTAAAGCAGATTTTTATCAAAATGGTTTGAAGATTCGGGGATATGAGAGGACGAACCCTACAGATTTAAATTTATATATAGGAGCACTCTATTGTGACAGAGAGAGAGAGAGAAATGGGGTTTAACGTCCACTCGACACAAACTAGGTCATTTCGGGACTAACATATGGTTTAATTTTATTTACACAATTCGCTTGCGCGCAGGGGTCTTTAGCAGTGGGAGGAAACCGGAGGACCCGGAGAAAACCCACGAGGTTGGACAGGCGACCCTACTCCTTGCCACGTACAACCGGGGATTCGAAACCACGCCAGTCGACTCAATGACAGACTTTATGATACAGCGCGCGCACGCTAACCATTCAGCCATCCAACCCCCCCCCCCTATTGTGACAGAAATGACAATATATGGAATTGTAGGTACAGTACAAATAATAAAAGATTAAGAGATAGTATCAGTGCCTTCATCCATATTACATGTAATACTAATTACTATTTACACACAATCGGTTAACCATTTTATTTCCCGTTTAATCCATGACTCTCTTACAAACACATGTCTTCAGTTAACGCTCGATCTTCATTCATTTCATTTATTTCACCTTTTAGTTCCTCATCATTAACAATAACTTCCACTCTGTACTTGACTGTCTTGCTCCTTGTCCAACTAAACGTATTGTCAAAACAAACTATATCTGAAATATATTATCATGACATATGCCCTAAAACATGAGCACAATCAATAAAACTACATACTAATGAAGTATACGGATATTGCAACAAGTATTTTTCAGAATGAACATCTAGTAGACGGTCTGAATAATCAAGGTAACTTTACCAACTTTTCAGTCTTAACTTTCAGAACAGCTTTCTGTGTAACGAAATGAATAAATAGAGCGGGAGCACAGGGGTTAACCTAAAAAGTGTACCAATTTTCTCCAATATGGTATCAATGTATGTATATCTGGTATCATCAGAATGTAAGTCTGCCGGGTTTTTGGTGGTGGATGTAGTATTCCACGCCCAAAATGCCATGCCCCCAACTAGTCTAGATTAGCTCAAAAGTGTACCACATGAAAATCGCACAGCAATGTACCGTACATCTTCAGGTATTACAAAAACACTCTGATAGACATTTCTAGTGGTGGGGTACCCCAGACAGAGCTATGCAATTGCCAGACACTTGTAGTGATGGTCTGATGGAGTATCCCTGACAAGAGTTATCTAATTTCCAGACCAAAACTACTCTAAATTAGCTCAAATCTGTATCACCTAAAACAGCCTTGGAGTTGTTCAGTACCACCACAGGAATCATGAATGACCACTGCCAGACAGTTTGTGCGGTGGGTTGCCCCTAACAGACACGCCCAAAATAACACGACCCCCAACTAGGATAGATTAGTCGGCACTGTTCCTGTGGTTCAAAAAATGAAAACTTGTGCCAGGATGCGAAGAATACTAATACCTAGCACATATGGAAGAGGCGGTAAACTGCGGTTGTAGGAACAATTTTTTTTTTTTCAAAAACGCATTTTTAGCCCCATAAAAATGTTTTTGCCCAAAAATCAATTTCTTGCAATCGCAGTTTATCGTCTCTTCCATACGTGCTAGGTATTAGTATCCTACGCATCCTGGCTAAAAATCTAATTTTTTAGAACACGGGAACAGTGCCTGCGAAGCTAGCCTAGTTGGGGGCGTGGCATTTTGGGGTGTGTCTCTTAGGGGTAACCCACCGCACAAACTGTCTGGCAGTGGTCATTCATGATTCCTGTGATGGTACTGAACAACTCCAAAGCTGTTTTAGGTGGTACAGATTTGAGCTAATCTAGCCTAGCTTTGGTCTGGAAATTAGATAACTCTTGTCAGGGATACTCCATCACTGCAAATGTCTGGCAATTACATAGCTCTGTCAAGGGTACCCCACCACTAGAAATGTCTGTCACAGTGTTTTTGTAATACCTGAAGATGTACGGTACACTGCAGTAAGATTTTCGTGTGGTACACTTTTGAGCTAATCTAGCCTAGTTGGGGGTCATGGAAATATACATACATTGATACCATATAGGAGAAAATTGGTACACTTTTCAGCTAGGTTCCCCCCCCCCCCCCCTGGGCTCCCGGTCTACGAGACTTAACTTTCTACATTTCTGCACTGAGTGAGATAATGAAGTCGGACATACACCCATCCTCGGTATCCTGTAGTGGAGTGGAATGGAACGGAATGTTACCACTAGGGATACCGAGGATAGCATGCACCGACATCCTCTTATTCCAAAGGAATAAAGAACAGACGACGCCCCATTAAAAGTATTATGAACACAAAAAACACTAAATGAATAAAATATAGGCCTTTTTATAATTATGAACAATGTCCCTACATAGGAGAAAATCCCAACAGCATTGCACCATCTATAACGGGCGCACTTTCGTTGGCTAGAGATTTCGGCCAGCTCGCAGCGTCCTTAACAATCTATCATGAAAAAAAAACACCCTTCAAAATATCTAAAATAGACGGAGTTTAATCAAGCTCCCATTATACGCCCAGGGGCTAAGTGAAGGGGACACAATAACGCGCCTTGTGTCGTGGTTTAACGTCTTCAATGAACAAATCTGACATTGATTACTTCATAATCATATTGCTCAGTGTCAACCATGTTCCGTGGCTCAGATATGCTTTAAATCGACTCTTCGCATGTTCGACAACCCCCGCAATGCATTGTGAAGGTGGGGTGGAAATATCCTGTCACTACTTACAAGTTCCAATTTCCTGGCATGACAGATTTCCATCTTGCGGTACCATGTGACTATTTACTCTTTCCATAGCAACAACTGATATTTGTTTACCATCTTTCAAATAGAAGACACCGAAACCGATGTCATAGCCTTCTGTTTGAAATTCCCAACTGAAAAAAAAAACAATCCAATGATTGCATGGATAAACATGACCATTTCATTTGATTAAATTGAAGTAACATGATTTAAGTAATGTAACTGATAAATTGCAATCAATATTTTTTTTAATACAGTGTGCATTGCTCGTATTTTACGCTACGGTTTTCTTCGACAGGTTAATATATATAGCTGAATAAAGCGGAAAGTACTCGCAAAAACCTAGTTTTCTTTCCTAAAACATCTTTATTTTGAATATATATATATATATATATATATATATATATATATATATATATATATATTAATGTCCAAAATGTTTCAAGCATAATAACTAAAGCAATGTATAAAGTGATTAAAGGGGCATTATGGAAAATTAGATAAGAGCTGGCAGTTCTCACTAGTTAAAAACTAGGGAATATGCTGAAAATTTCGGTTAAATTGCTCCACTCTAAACCGAGATATTAGCGTTTGGATTTTAGACCTAGCCTCGATCATCATTACTAAAGTCGGTACGATAAAAACATAGTCTCGATCATCCATTTTTGGATTAAATCATCAATGAGCGTTGAGCAGCAAATCGGATTCAAATCCAGTGAAATTCGGACACATTAGATAGCATCGAGAGTTGATTAAGGTATTTTCATGATAATAAATGTCTAATTAATAATTTATATAACATTTCAGGCCCAAACGAAAGACCTGCAATAGGCAGATTTAGCTCTTGCATAATGTATGTTTAAGATATTAGAAACCCATTAACTTAAGTCCCGAAGGAATCCAACTATCAATATAAGATTCGAACAGAATTATACAAACCATCGGTGTTGACCACTATAAAATAAGTACCTTATAATTAGAAAATATATTTTACTAGGGGGAATGATAATAATTATCAGTGATTGCGCTAGTAGCCTCTGGACCCGAGGTTATCCGTCTTCTAAAACACCGTTTCAAACAATTCTTCAGTTATAGTCATGACGCGATATGCTTACTCTTTCTCGACCACCTCGTATCACATCTCATTTAAGGAATTTACATTTTTATCAACATTTCTGAGACGGTTTAAACAAGGATTACAGCTACAATGATAATGCTGGGGTTAAAACAAACGGCTGGTGACCGTTGATCTTTATTGGCCTGGGGCCTGTTTCACGAAATTTTAACTAAGATAAAATCTAGATATTATTAATTTGATTGGATAATATTAGATTGATTTTTGTGCTTAGCCAATCAAAATTGAAGTATCTGCTAAAATAAGGATGTTATCTATAGTTAAAAATTCGTGAAACAGACCCCTGAAGTCACCTTAGTGTTGTACTTAAGGCCATTTTACACGAACATGTCAATTTACACCAGTTAATAAACCTAGTGAATGGTATCCATAAAGCTCTCTGTTATTATGTCAATTTACACCATACAACATGCATATCATCAGTTACTCCTCAAGAAAATGGTGGTCGAAGATCAGGCATCCTATAAAACATTAAACTTTAGTGAACATGTTCAAGATTGATGAGGCATGTTTTATGAAATATTTATCATGCTCCTCGTCATTCGGCGTAGGAGACGAAATAGATTAAAGATACATTATGGGAGATTAGATAAAGATCTGGCAGTTCTCACTATAATAGTTAAAAACTAGATACTGTAAAGGGAATTTGCTGACAATTTAAGTCAAATTGATCCGCTATGAACCGAGATTTTAGCGATTGAATTTTCCATCTAGCCTCGATCATCATTACTAAAGTAGGTAGGATAAAAAACATAGTCTCGATTATCAATTTCATGATTAAATTATGAATGGAAGTCGAACAGCAAATCGGAACCTAATCCAATAAACATCGCAGGCTAGCGATGCCATCGAGAGTTGATTATGGTCTGGATAATTTAATTAATATCTAATTAATAATTTAGATAACATTTAAGGCCTAAAGAAAGACCTGCAATTGGCAGATTTAGCTCTTGCATAATGTATGTTTAAAAAAAACAGTGTGTTTGGGCAAAGCAGTTTATATAGAGGAATTGGGTGTGGGGGGGGGGGGGCAGATCATCATTCACTCCTCAAGAAAATGATGGTCGAAAATCAGGCATCCTATAAAAAATTCTTGATTGTCATGTTACCCAATAAACCAGGTGACCCAAATATGCATTCTTATTGTTTCGGGGCCTACAATAAATGTACATGCTCGAAAAGCATTCAACATGTTCGAGCCTGTCCAAGCTTGTTCACAGTTGTTCAAATTCACATACACTCGCTAGGACAATTTCCTGCGAAGATCACCCTACAAATGTTGGCTGATGTTCTTGAACAAAAGTAGGATCGTGTAAAATGGCCTTAAGTAAAAATATACTAAGACATACCTTATTACAGTACCGGGTTCTGTTATATTGTAAGTGAAATTGACCGTTTCACCATTAGGTACTATCATTGTTTGTAGAGAAGTAAAATTTTCTGTGTCTTTTAAATAATAACTAACAGGTACTTCACCACCTTGACAAATCTGATATTTACAAAGCAAAACATTACCAACCGAAACATAGAATATAAACATCTTAACTGTGTAGGGATATCAACACGTGATAATTATCATCACTTTCAATAATGTATTGCTTTAAAACTATACTTTTGAAACGTCAATCTGACTTACCTTCGTATGCCTTTTTTATACGCCCACATTTTCGTGTGGACGTATATTGTCGTCGCCCCTGTCCGTCCACCTGTCTGTCTGTCCGTCCACAATTTGTTTGTATGGACACTCTACAGGTCACAGTTTTTATCCGATTTTGACGAAAGTTGAAATATAGATCTATCTCCTTTCGATATTGGCATGTATCGGACTGTAACTTCATGGATTATGGCCCTTATTGTACGAAAAATCACGTTTTTAGCTCGTGGACACTCTAGAGGTCACAATTTTCACCTGATTTTGATGAATCTCGAAATACATATTTATAACCCAAGATCTCAGTTCCTTTCGATATTGGCACACATCGGAACGTAACTTCCTGAGTTATAGCCCCTGATTGTACGAAAAATCGCGTTTTTAGATTGTGAACGTCACAATTTTTATCCAATTTTAACAAAACGTTTAAATTTACCACCGTTACACTCGATTGACGGTTGAGTTCCAATTTTGTGAAAATTGGACCAAAACTGCCTGGCAAAATGGCGACTCCTTGTACGAAAATAGTGTAAAAGTATGTAATACCAAGGTTGTGGACACTCTAGAAGTCACAATTTTGATGCGATTTTGATGAAACTTGAAATTATAATCCAAACATCGTGGTTCCTTTTGATATTTCCGCATATCGGACTGTACGAAAAATCACGTTTTTAGCTTGTGGACCCTCTAGAAGTCACAATTTTTTATTCAATATTAACAAAACGTTTAAATCTATCACCTTTACACCTCAATGACGATTGAGTTCTAATTTTGTGAATATCGGACCAAAACTGCCTGACAAAATGGTGGCTAATGTATGCAAATAGCAAATAGTGTAAAAGTATGTCATACCAAGTTTGTGGACCCTCTAGAAGTCACAATTGTTATCCGATTTTGATGATCCCAAAGATCAGACCGTAACTTCCTGGATTAAGGCCCCTAATTCTACGCAAAATCGTGATTTTTAGTTTGTGGATTTTTTAGAGGTCACAATTTTTTATCCGATTTTAAACCCGTTTAAATCTATCACTATTCTATCATAATGAAGGAGAAAATCGAAACGAACTACCCGGCAAAATGGCCGCTCTTTGTACGCAAAGTGGGTAAAAGTATGTAATACGAAGATTGTGGACCCTCTAGAGATCACAATTTTTATCCGATGTTTACGAAACTTAAAGTAGCTAAGTCCGTAACTCAATATCATCCAAAATCTTCGACATTGAAAACATGATTTTTTTTTAGCAATTTAAATCAGCATTGGTGTTGTGATCTTACCTGGAAAAGATGGGCTTCTGATATCCAATATTTAAGACAAAATAAACATTTTACCATTGGTACACCGTGTACCATAATGCGTTTCAGCGCTATTTGTAACAAGGTGCTCAAAGAATGAGGCTAGACATATTCCACAAGTCATGTCAAACGGTGATATCATGTTCTTATTTGGAGAGCATGCGCAATAAATAATATCGGTGTTGACTGGAATAATCAGAGCTAGAAACTGACTTGCGGTTGAGACTTCTGGCGTATTTCGCCGAACATAACTGATGACAATTCACAGTAAAGCGGACACGATTGAATGCAAAACAGTTTATATAAATTCATATTACATTATTATATTTGTTGCGACCCATTTGTGCCAATTTCTAGGTCTAAAATATTAGCGATTTAGCTCCTTTAAAATATATCTTTATATCCCAAAGATCTCAGTCCCTTTCGATATCTGCGCATTTCAGACCATAACTTCCTGGATTATGGCCCCCGATTGTACGAAAAATCGCTTTTGTTTTTAGCTTGCTGTCTATCTATCTTTTGCAAAATGTGGGCGTATCTTGTCTGGCAACCGCTGGTTTTAAGTGTTACAATTTGTCCCGAAAGTAGAACTCTTACTCTACATGAGCTGATATTGTTTGGATATAAAACAGATTTATAGGATTGTGTATTCCATGGCCATATTTCAATCTAAGACTGCGTGAAACATGTGTCAGCTCAAAGTTACAAGTATAGGGAGTTACGTCCGATTATAGTTTAACTTCCTTAATTTGGAGGTTACAATGATTAAATAATAAAATGGGAAGAAACATGTATTCTAATATTTAGTACAGGAGAACCGATCCACAAATAACGACCAGATAGAATCAGACATAGAGAAGAAAATCCCACGGACATGAAACATTAAAAACACAACACAGCTTACTGTGCGTATTATATATAATATAAATTTAATGGTGCCATTTTTATACGCCCACATTTTCACGTGGACGTATATATTGTCGTCGCTCCTGTCCGTCCGGACATTTTCATGTGGACGTATATTGTCGTCGCCCCTGTTTGTTTGTGGACACTCTACAGGTCACAATTTTAATCCGATTTTGACTAAACTTGATATATAGGTTTATATCCCAAGGATCTCGGTTCCTTTCGATATTGGCATGTATCGGAGCGTACCTTCGTGCATTATGGCCCCTGATTGTACGAACAAATCATGTTTTAGCTTATGGACACTCTAGATGTCACAATTTCTATCTGATTTTAATGAAACATGAAATGTATGCTTATAACCCTTAGTTCTCGGTTCTTATCCACATTCGCGCATATCGGACCATACCGTCCTGGATTATGGCCCCTGATTGTACGAAACATCGTGTTTATTAACCCGTGGTCTCTCTGCCACAATTTTTTTTTTATCCGATTTAAAAAATCATTTAAATATTTCATCGTTACACCCTAATGATGGTTGAATTCTAATTTCGTAAAAATTGGACCGAAACTGCCCGACAAAATGGCCACTGATTGAACGCAAATAGTGTAGAAGTATATAATGCGAAGATTGTGGACATTCTAGAGGTCACAATTTTTGTCCGATTTTGATGAAACTTCAAATACATGTTTATATCCCAAAGGATCTCAGTTCCGTTCGATATTCACGCATTCGATATTCACGGATTATGGACCCTGATTGTACGAAAAATCGCGGGTAATTTTTAGCTTGTTCTCTATCCATCTTTTGCAAAATGTGGGCGTATCTTGCATGGCAACCGCTGGTTTTGTGATTGGTGAAGTATTTAATAATGAAATTCACAACTTATTATAATTGATAATTTTGTCAGGTCTGACAAAGAGAAAACTCCATTTTCGCAACATGCGGTCATGGGGTTATCAGTTCTACCCTTCACACAAGATGTTTGCGGCCTTCAGGCGGAGAGAAAGGAGTTGTGGTTGCAATTTTACCAGCAATTAAATGGTGCTATTTATATTGTATTTCATCAGAATCTAATGATAACTGTAGAATATCTTGTTTTATGTTCGAGAACAAAAGAGCGTACATAAATTAATGCGACTGATGATAGGTCACTAATATAATTTCTTTCTCACATTAAATTTCTTTATTTTACAGAATTCAAAACTTACCCAGGACGTGCACCTTGGGTTCCCATCAGGATCGGTTTTATTTCCTCCAAGAAATCCAGGAAGTTCACCAGTATCAATATACTTTAACAAAACATCTTTATAATCATCTGAGAAAAAAAAGGAAAATAAATCAGTGGGGTGTTGTATAAAATTACGAAGGCCCATTAGTGCCAAAAAAAATAAATATTAATCCGTTTGAACGAGTTAGTATCTCGTTTGAACGAATTAAATATCTCGTTTGAACGAATTAGTATCTCGTTTGAACGAATTAGTATCTCGTTTGAACAAATCTCGTTTAAACGAGTTAGTATCTCGTTTGAACGAATTTATTATCTCGTTTGAACGAATTAATTATCTTGTTTGAACGAATTAATTATCTTGTTTGAACGAATTAATTATCTCGTTTGAACGAATTAAGATTTTGATTGTACAGAAGCGTGTAAGGGACATGCAGAAATTGTGATCCTAACTGGTGTTTTAAGTAAGGATTATGTCATTTAATACATAAGTTCTTTGCTATTTCTAGCGTTACCGTCAGTAGAAGGAACTACATTTACGAGAAGGGGAATTAGTATAGAATATGTTGGAAGTTATCCACATTTTAAAAGCCGAATATGTTTAATGTTAGTCTGAATTAGGCACAACATCGCAGTGAAGTCATTGTTTTATGCTTAAACAGGCATTATGCAAGAGCTAAATCTGCCTATTGCAGGTCTTTCTGTAGGCCTTAAATCATTAGACATTTATTAACATGTTTAAGTAGATTAGAACGGTTCGGTCATTTAATGATTTAATTGAACAATGGTAAAGCGAGACTAAGCCTCGAACAACCAGTAGGGTGGTTACATTCCGTGCATTGTCAAACCTTCAAAGGCTACTATCGTCGCTCAGAATAAAGTAATTTAATGAAAATTTCAATATATTCATTTCGCATTATCTTTTTTGAACTATTATTACAAGAACGACCAACTCTTTCTCTAAATCTTACATAATGCATCTTTAATATTGTAAAGGCGTAGATTTGAAACGCACCCAATTAAGAAATAATTATGCCTTAGCTGAATTTTTGCTAGCTCAGTGAACAGAACTGCAGGTACGATTGCTTGTCAACGGGGTTTACGTATTAATTGAACTTATCCCAGAGTAAATGTATTCCTAGTGTTGACTGCGCTGCAATACAGCGGGTGTAAGAGGATTCGGGTGAGTTTCTAAGATAGAGGGGTGGGGGAGAGAAGAAACTACTAATTTGCGACGTCTACTTTAATGGCGCGAGTCTTGCTAGAAAAGTCTGTAGTCCGCGAATGACACAAAAACTGTGGATGACACGAAGAACCCGTGGAATGCAGTAGCAGTATGCAAAACGAAGCAAGCGTAGTAATTGTGCCGAAACAATGCCCACATTGCACGTCTCATCCCTCCCACTAGGGTCCCGTGTGGCAAAGCGACGCTGCTGTTGGTCGACTTGCTCGAGAGAACAGGGACGTGAAACCGAAAGCTGCAGAGGGGAACGATGGCTCAACGTGAACCAAGAGGGAAAGACCTGCGTGTCGGCTTTCACCGGTAATTTAGCGTAGAGCCAGTGTTCCCTATGCGACACCCGGCTTCAAGTCCTCTGTCCTATCAAGGAAGTCGGCCAACGACAGCGTCGCTTCTCCGCATGGTTCCCTCGTGGGAGGGATGAGACGTGCAATGCGATAAATTTTGCAGCACTACTACTCCTGCTTCGTTTTACATGCTGCGTGCGAAAATTAGTTATTTTTTTTTACTCTCCCACCTCACTGTCAGTAATAACATTAATCCTTAATATGTAAACATCGCTGACAAGCAATAGTATACATGTAGTTCTGTTCACTGAGCGAGCGAAAATTCAGCTAAGGCACAATCTACAATTTTATTTCTTAATTGGGTGAATTAATATAATTATCATACATACACCTGTCGTAATGCCTGTTTAAGCATATACATAAACAATGACTTCACTACAATGTTGTGGCTAACCCAGGCTAACATTAAACAAATTGGATAATTTCCACGGTATTCTATATTAATTCCCCTTTTCACAAGTGTAGTTCCTTCTACTGCCGCTAACGCCAGAAATAGTAAAGAACCTACGCGTATTAAATCATATTATCTTTACTTGAAACATAATTTCTGCATGTCCCTTCCATGCTTCTTTAGACTACAACCGAAATATTAATTCGTTCAAACGAGATACTAATTCTTTCAAACGAGATACCTATTCGTTCAAACGAGATAATAATTCGTTCAAACGAGATAATAATTCGTTCAAACGAGGTAATTAATTCGTTCAAACGAGATACTAATTCGTTCAAACGAGATAATAATTCGTTCAAACGATATACTAATTCGTTCAAACGAGATAATTAATTCGTTCAAACGAGATAGTAATTCATTCAAACGAGATAGTAATTCGTTCAAACGAGATACTAATTCGTTCAAAAGAGATACTAACTCGTTCAAACGGATTAATATTTTTTTTTTGTTTGGCACTAATGGGCCTTGTGTGTATTTTTATAATACTGGAATACAGCTTCCATGTCGTGAAACCACGCAATATCTTAGAAAATTCCTGTACAACTAAGTCTCGGTTAACAAAGGAATTGTTCGATTGTATGGAATAATAGATAAATGGGGAAAATACTCACCACCTAACACGTGAATTTTATTCTTCATATCATCGCTAACCAGTGGGCGACATATTTTATATAAAAGTGGGAAAATAGCTGGCGCTAGAAAACACAAAAAATAACCTTTGCTGAAAAAATAGGACAAAACTGACATACATATAAAAATGACTTGATATATCTACAGAATGAATACTCAAGAAACCAAACCAAAAACCCTTTTTCACCCATAATGTGCACCTTTACACAAAAAAAACCCACGCCTTTAAAATATTTCTTTACACCAAATCAACAGTTTTGGGTAGTTTACCTTTCTACAATGTGTTCCCAAATACAGAAAACGAAAGAAATGAAATGTGGTTTAACTTTAACGTTCTACATTTTTGCTTCGACTGGGTTAATGAAGACGGACATACGCCATACAGTGTGCGGCCAACACTCTATACTGAAAAATACCGAGAAAAAAAAACCGGAAAATACCGAAAAAAATTAGAAAAGTAACGAAAAATACCGAAAAAAAAGACCGCATTTTTTTATACTAATTACCGCAAAAATCTGAAAAAAAACCCTAAATACCGAAATTCTTAAACATAACTCTAACCCATGCCCATCAATTTTATAAGTGGCCTGACCCATGATCCAACTACAGTGTGCCTACAAGTTTTATGCGTGATCAAGCGTGATCTACGACCAACCTATAGAGTATCACACTATATTTATGCATGGTAGAGTGACCCATTACCCACCTAGAGTGTTCACTATTATCATGCGTAACTTACAATTTTTATGCGTTGCCTATTGTCTGACCCATGGCCCACCTAACAATTGTTATGCGTGCCCTAGGTTTTTTTTCAGTAATTTCCATGTGGATGTATTATACCGTCGCCCCCGTCCACAATTTGTTTGTGGACACTCTACAGGTCACAATTTTTATCCGATTTGGACGAAGCTTGGAATATAGGTCTATCTCCCAAAGATCTCCTTTCGATATGGCATGTATCGGGCCATAACTTCATGGATTATGGCCCCTGATTGTTCGAAAAATCACGTTTACAGATTGTGGACACTCTAGTGGTCACAATTTTCATCTGATTTTGAAGAAACCTGAAATGGTTAAGTTCGAATTTCGTGAAAATCGGACCAAAACTGCCGGACAAAAAGGCCGCCCCACGTACGCAAATAGTGTAAAAAATATTGTATATCAAGGTTGTGGACCCTCCAGTGGTCACAATTGTGAATCTTGGAATACATGTTTATAACTCACAGATCTTGGTTCCGTTCGATATTCGCGCATTTCGGATCGTAACTTCCTGAATTATGGCCCTTGGTTGTACGAAAAAACGCCTTTTTAGCTTGTAGTTTTTAGGAGTCACCATTACACCATAATAATGGTTGAGTTCGGACCAAACTTGCCGGACAGAATGGGCGTCCCTCGTACGTAAATAGTGTAAATATATTCTGATGAAACTTTATGTTTCTATCACAAAGAGCTCGGTTCCTTTCGATAATTGCGCATATCCGAACGTAACTTTCTGGATTATGGAACCCGATTGTTCGAAAAATCGCATTTTTAGCTTGTGGACCCGCTAGATGTCACAATTTGTATTCAATTTAAAAAAAAACCGTTTAAATATACCACCGTTACACATCATTGAAGGTTGAGTTCGAATTTCGTAAAAATCTGACCCAAACTGCTGGGAAAATGGCTGCTCCTTGTATGCAAATAGTGTAAAAGTAAGGTTGTGGACACTCTAGAAGTCACAATTTTTATCCGATTTTGATGAAACTTGAAATGTATATTTATAATTCAAAGATCGTGGTTCCTTTTGATATGTGCGTATATCGGACTGTAACTTCCTGGCGTATGGCCCCTGATTGTATGAAAAATCACGTTTTTAGCTTGTGGACCCTCTAGAGGTAATTTTTATCCAATTTTAACAAAACGTTTAAATCTATCACCGTTACACCCTAATGCGGGTTGAGTTCTAATTTCGTGAAAATCGAACGAAACTACCTTTTCGGACTTACTTTTGTGGTTTTGTTTTCGGTGGGGTTTTTTTTTTTTTTTGCTGTTTTTTGGATGTTTACGGTATAGTACAGCCGCAGTGTGCTAATCTTCAATTTTATCAAGCGCTTCACATAATACCCTGCATATTTCGTCACTAATTTCGACTGACTACTGACCAAGCTGGGTACCTCTCAGATTTCTAGATAAAAAATATCATCGCGAATACCAAGTCTCGCGCTTTCCAGCTAAAATGTCTACCTGTGGTAATCGAGTTGCAAAAATCATGGTTCGTTCAATGTCAAGGTTTCTATGTTTGATTTGAGTGTGTTTGGTTCGCGGCCTCTGGTTGGACAACGCTATTGTTCACGTGTCTGTGGTAAAGGGAGATAACGAGCAATGATCTTCAAGGAGTGCATCTATAGGCAGAGGCGTAGCCGTGAAATATGTATGGGGGGGGGGCCGCAACCCTAACCCCTAACCCCAACCCATTTTTTAAAACCCCTAAAAAAATATAAACAAACACCATGTAGCCATGCTGTCTACCAAGCCTTATGGTTACGTTGCTGGCTGAGCGGGCGATAAATATTTGGTTTAGGCGGTAATGTTTTTAGGTACCTACATGCGATTCACTCTGATAAATGGCAGAAAAAAATTAACAAAATATTACTGACTGGCTAACTAGACATAATTTTATGGAACACAGGTACTTTTCACTTCACACATGTTTCCAGGATGATTATCTCTGTATTTTATTTTAGCAGTATAAACCATATTGGGATATGTACAGGTTTTATACAGATAGAATCTTAACTAATCCTAATAATTTTTGTAAATAAATAGGAGTTTGGGCCTACAATGTAAATTTTTTTTTTTTTTTTTGGGGGGGGGGGGGTCACAGTATATTCAGCCCCCCCCCCCGAAAAACAATTGGGGGAGGAGGGGTCGGACCCCCTCCCCCATGTGTGACGCCCATGTCTATCGGGTCTATACTGCACATTTACTTTCAACAACTACCATTTTGATAATGCGCAAAGTTCATGGTCCTTTCGAGTAAAAGTTTTAAGGCGACGCTGTATCCATGTTCACGTTTCACACTTCGAAAAACTTCTTTTTTTCGCCGGTCACAGATCATAAGAAACTTACCATTCACAACAAACATTCTTTTCATCATTTCGGGATAATTATCCTCTAAAACTTTTACAAGGTGGAGATACATTTGTAAACCTAAAACAATATACATATCACAATAAATGGAGTGTGGTGCGGATTCGGGGGTAAGGACCCGGGTATGGAACAATTACCTTTCTAGGGCTGGTTTTTTTTTCGTACTGGCAAAGGTCTGGATTTAAGAGAGAGAGAGAGAAAGCGAGAGATAGAGAGAAATGGGGTTTAACGTCTACTCGACATAAACTAGGTCATTTCGGGACTAACACATGGTTCAATTTTATTTTAAACCGGAGGACCCGGAGAAAACCCACGATGTTGGACAAGCGACCCTACTCTTTGTCACGTACAACCGGCGAATCGAAACCCCGCCAGTCGACTCAATGACAGACCGTGCTAACCATTCGGCCATCCACCCACCCCATGGATTTAAGAACGAGGCGGCCAAGAATGGAGCAAAGTGTCCTAACAACCACAAGTCACCATTGCAGGTTTTAAATCGCAATGTTTTGTGACCATTTTCATAAGAGAAAATTTATTTCTATCGGCGCTGTCATCGAGAAAAATGTGATTATGTTAGACTTATATTCTCTTTTGATTTATAATACGTATATTAGTAAATAGTTTTCATTGGCCACATCATCATTAAAACTACATTACCTGGCTTCCAGAGCATTTTAGTACTGACTCCCGTCATATCAAATATTACAGTTAATTGGTCTACATGTCGACCAAGCTGAAATTAAAGTAAACATTTTATAGAATTGGTTCGTGAAAAAAACTCCGATGGAAAATACTCAACTTAAAGTAGCTAAGTCTCTAACTCAATATCATCCAAAGTCTTACACGTTGAAAATACGAATTATTTGTCAATTCAAATCAACATTGATGTTGTGATCTTACCAGGAAAGGCAGGCTTCTGATATCCAATATTGGTACACGAATCGTGTATCATAGTATGTTTTAGCGTCATTTGCAAAAAGTGACCAGAAAGAACGAGGCTAGACATATTCAACTGGAGAGCCTGCTTAATAGACCTGAATAACCAGACGCTAGAAATTGCTATAGGGTTGAGACACATGCTGTATTTCGCTGGACATAACTGATTTGAAATTAGAGTCAAACAGAAAACAATTGAATGTAAATCAGTTTATATACAATCAGATAACATTATAATATGCGTTTCGACCCATTTGGGTCAATTTCTAGGTCCTAAATATTAGCGATTTAGCTCCTTTAAGGTGTCTGAAATGTAACATCAAACGTGCTATATTTACTTAAAAATATATTATGGGAGATTTTTATAAGGAGTTAGCCATTTTTGCTATAACAGTTCAAAAATAGATGATGAAAGCAGAATATATTGAAAATTTCAGTCAAATTACTTTATTCTGAACATAGTTATCACCAGCGTAATTTTTGACTAGAAATGGGATTGAATTCCATCTTCACCGATTCTTAGTATGGCCGACCGTTGAATGACAGGCGTTAACTCCACCTTCATAATCTCTGCTGTCTTTTGTCTGCTGTCATCATATCCGGATTTGTGTTTTACCTTTTTGGATTTTTATAACAATTGGACAAAATGAGTGAGAGGGTAAATTTTCATTCTTACTTGTATTTTGGGCATGCATTTAATCAATTGAATATAGGACATAATATTATAATACAATTACGATAAATCTATAGGTATACACCAGTGGCGTCGTGCCTATTGGGGAAATAAAAATATCTTTATTGATATTATTAAGACAGAAAACCTGTCCGTCTGTATTAGTCATCACACTGTTTCGTTATGTCTTTGCAGTAGTCAGAAATGATGTGAGCCCATTTAAGGCGTGGACAGCAGAATAACACAAGTCAGATAGAAGCCATGACACTACTTTAATAAACACGTGACTAATCGGTTGCGTACAAAGTTACATAGGCCTACAGAAAATAATAACGTAACATCCTTTCTCCTTTCAGAAAGAAATAGATCTCATATCATAATACTCAAAATAAATGATTAGAAATAAAATAAACAATAAACACAGAGCATGCATTATGTTACATAGTCTTTCAAATAATGAGGTTTTACAGGATCGAGTGAAGTTCAAATTCCTTCTCATTGGTTGAGGTTGATCAGGTTCTTCTTGGTTAGGGACATGAGCAAAATCCCCTTATTACTGATTACGCGTGTAAGGAACATATACATCAGAAGTATCGTATTCGTAGCTTTCATTAGATCTGCGAAGAAATTGACGATTACGTCTAAAAGTTCCGTCAGGTGTTCGCACCAAGTAAGAGCGTTTATTCAATCGACGTATCACTTCCCATTTTTTCTACAAGTTATCACCTAAGCGAAAGGGTTTAATACGAACTACATCGCCTGAATGTAATACTGGAAGGTCCTTGGCAGAACGATTATAATATTTAGCTTGTCTTTGTTTCTGATTCTGTAACTCAACAAAATCACGATGTGAACTGAGAGCAGGTTGTAACATCGATGAATTCACAGGTAGTAAATTGCGAGTACGACGGTGGAGAAAACGTTGAGCAGGACTTGTAGACATTCCTTCAGAAGGAGTATTACAGAAATCAAGTAGCGCAATATATTGATCATCATTAGAGTCTTTGGCTTTACGCATTAAACGTTTGGCTATTTTAACGGAACTTTCAGCTTTTCCGTTTGAGCGACTATTGTAAGGACTGCTTGTTGTGTGCACAGAATCCCAAAGTTCAGAAAAATGTTTAAATTCGAACGATCAAAACTGGGGACCATTGTCGGAAACCAACTCGCATGGTATTGCGTAACGTGCGAAATGAGATTTAAGCTTACAGATGACTGCAGAGGTTCTAGTATTCGCAAGACGGTCTATTTCGAAGAAATTACTATAATAATCAGTTGTAATTAAGTAATTGACTTCATCAAGTTCAAACAGATCTACTCCTACTTTTTGCCATGCGCGAGAAGGTATCTTGTGACTAACAAGAGTTTCTTTTTGTTGTGAGGTTTCGTATTGATGACAAATTTCACATGATGATAAAAGTTGTTTTATATCGCTGGACATGCCAGGCCAGAACATACATTCTCGAGCTCTTCTTAGACAGCCATTAATACCAATGTGCGACATATGTGCTTGTTTCTTAAATTCAGATCTGAGGGTTACAGGAATGAATACACAGTTGCCTTTATAAATTACGCCATCGTCGACAGTAAGTTCATCTCGAAAACTAAAATATGGGTAAAGTTCGTGAGGTAACTGTGATTTCTCAGAAGGCCAGCCAGTTAAGATAATATCAGACAATAACTGTAACACATTATCATTTTTGGTAGCTTCAACGATTTTGTTGAATCTTTCAGGTCTCATAGGAAGGTAATCAGTGGTATTAACAGATTCAAAGTTACTACTTTCACTTTCAGAGGAGCCATTTAAAAATGAACGTGATAGAAGATCTGCGATGTGCATATCAGAACCTTTTAAGTACGAAACTTTGATATCATAAGCTGCAGCACGCAAAAGCATACCCTGTAAACGACGAGGTACTTGAGACAGACTTTTTCATGATCGATTCTAATAGTCGATGATCCGATATAACATGGGGTAACCGTCCGAATGTATACTGGTGAAATTTTTCAAGTGAATATACTATCGCAAGCATTTCTTTTTCGATTTGTGCGTATCGCACTTCAGTTTCAGTTAACGACCGACTTGCATAAGCGATTGGTTTTCCATGCTGTAGTAGAACACTTCCAATGCCATGCAGACTAGCATCACATTGTATAAACAATTCGTCAGATGGGTTATAAAATGCCAATACAGGTGCTGTAGTGACTAAATGTGCCAGTTTAGCGAAAGCTTGGTCTTGATCCGTTGACCAATTCCAGGCATTGTTTATATGCATAAGTTTGCGAATAGGTTCAATGACTTCAGACAACATTGGCATAAATTTTGACAGATAGTTTATGAAACCACAATAACGTTTTACTTCTTCAACGGTTTGAGGCTTGGGCATTTCAGTTATGGCTTTCACTTTCAAAGGATCGACCTTGACACCATCACTAGATATAACATGACCTAGAAATGTAATTTCGGATTTACGAAAATCACACTTGTTTTTGTTGATTTGAATGTTTAGTTTACGACATCTTAATAAAAGATTCTCGAGATTTCTGTCGTGATCAGAATTGGCAGCTTCATCAGATTCGCCTTGACCATATACTACAATGTCATCAGCAATGTTTAAAATACCAGTTAAACCAGCTAACGCAGTAGTTAAACGTTTCTGGAAGATTTCTGAGCTAACGTTAGTACCAAAAGGTAATCTTAACCATCTATAACGACCAAATTGAGTCTGGAACGTTGTCAGAAGACTTGATTCTTGATCTAAGACACAATGCCAGTATCCATTAGACAAATCTAACTTGGAAAATACTCGAACCAATTTTCCACCAGAGGGTTGATCACCAGAAGATAATTGATGTAAAACGTCATCAAGTACAGGAAGTTGACATCTTTCACGTAACAGAGCCTTATTCAGAGGACGAGGATCTAAACAAACACGAAGTTCTCCAGATTTCTTTGTTGCAATCAACATCTTACTGTTCCAGGGTGTTGGTGATTCTTGAACAACTAAAACACCAGACTTAACTAATTCATTTAGTTTGTCTTTGACCTGAGACTGAGGAGCAATAGGTACTCTATTGGGAGGGAAGATAACAGGTTGTACAGTATCATCTATAGCAAAATGTACTATTCCAGGTAAAGTTCCAATTTTATCGCTTTCAAATGCGTCAGCAAATTCTGTTAGGGGTTCGACAGAAATTGCAGAGTTAACAGCAGAGACGGAATTAAACTTTTCATAATTCACTGTTATAATTCCAAGATCTTCAGAAGTTTGTTTTCCTAATAACAGAGTCAGATTTTCTTTGACAATAATAAAAGTTACTGTATATTCGTTTGTTGATTTTGGATTAACAAGCTTGACAGAGCATTTCCCTATAGGTTGTATTTCAGTCTTATTCCACATACGTAAAGTTGTAGAGCAATTTTCTAAGGAGTATCCTTTAACGTATTGTTTAGGCAGAATATTAACAGTTGCACCAGAGTCACATTGGAATCTTACATACTGCTGATCTAATAGCATATGCACATAAATGTGTTTACTGTCTAAAGAAAATAAGGATTCAGTTACAGTGTACAATTCTGCTGTGTTGACCTGAGCAGTAGAATGACTTCTATATGGGCACTTTTCAGAAAAATGATTCAGTTTATGACACTTTCCAGATGTTTTACCCCATGCAAGACACAATGACTTCTTGAAAACATGTAGTCTTCCACAAAATTTACAGTACAGTTCTTTATCTAAAGTCTTAAAGTTATGTCTTGAAGAATTTTCTTTAAGTTAAGAATGAAATGACTTTTGTTTAATTGATAATTTTGGTTTAGTAGATCCACTATACACCTTATTAATCTCTAATGATGCTACATCAGAAATAGTTTTCATATGTTGACTTGAGGCTTCTTGACCCCAACAGATGTCAATACAGGATCTAAGTTTAAGGTTGTTCTCTTGTAATAAACGTTTACGCAGATTTTTGTCGAGCACGCCAAAAACAATTCTGTCTCTAAGAAGACTATCGGATAAACAATTACAAAAGTTACAAGGTTTCATGAGACTTTTTAACACAGTTATATAATTGTCTATTGACTCGCCAGATTTCTGGTTTCTACTGTTGAACACAAACCCCTCATAAGTTTCATTAATCAATCCAATAATATGCTCATCAAACTTTCTAAGAATAACATCTATACTGTTTTGGTTTTCATTTGGTGTATATTCAAATGAGTTGTAGATTAGCAGTGCTTCTCTGCCTAAGTTGTGTAGAAAAAGTGCTTTCTTATATTCTTCAGACTGGTGTTGTAAGCCTGCAACGATTGCGTAATTTGACCATGTTTGTTTGTATAATTTCCAGTTCTCAACTGGGTTATCTCCTAAAAACAATTTTGACGGCGGTGGAACATTGACAACTGGACCACGTTGATCATTATTTCCCCCATCGACAGGATTATCCGCTTCAGCCATTTTACGGAATAATATTACTAGTGAACATACCAATATGCAGAATAGTAAGGCGGGAAAAACATTGAATGACGTCAGACTTTTAGAAATGTCAACACGCTTCTCGAACATTCGCCAGTACTTAGTCGGTAAGCTATACGACGCTCACACAGAGAAATGACGACAGCTAAGTGTCTAAAATGTATCTTACTGCAATCAGAAATAGTTGATATCCAGCCACTATGTTTCGTTATGTCTTTGCAGTAGTCAGAAATGATGTGAGCCCATTTGAGGCGTGGACAGCAGAATAACACAAGTCAGATAGAAGCCATGACACTACTTTAATAACCACGTGACTAATCGGTTGCGTACAAAGTTACATAGGCCTACAGAAAATGATAACGTAACACACACGGTTTCCAGGAATTGTATAATTTGTCATTATCTGTGTTTAGTTTATTGCACTTTAAATAGTTTAGATGCCATTTGTTAAGGCATCGCTCAACAGCGGCCTCGCTTCGTACACTCTATCATTTAGCCTCGATCCGGGTGTATGACGTCAACGTAACGGTTAATCTCCGCTCACGACGCCATTTAAAATTAAATCATTCAACGAAATCCCGTTTAAATCCAAGCTGAATCCAAGTCATCCGTGGGTCTACAGAGTTGATTTTGTGCTTGTTGTGTAAATAAAGATCTAATTTATAATTTCTGTGACATCTGAAGCCTAAATAAAGACTTGCAATAATCAGATTTAGCTCTTGCATAATGTATGTTTAATTAATATCGGAAAAACAGTTGATATTTTATTGCCACCACAAGATGTCGGGGAACGTAACTCCGCAGAAATATTTCACGAATCTGGTTCAAATTCAAACACATTTGAGATCTCATGAATTTTAGGCAACAAGTATCAATAAAATCTAAATATAGACTAGAGCGTCCACAGGCCCAATTTGACGCAATTTGACTAAGTCGGGTGCAATAAACACAGAGAATAATTATTGATGAATCTCTTTCAAGTTCAAACTCATCCGAGATCTCATAAAGCCACGTGAAACTTTTGCCAGCGATATCAACATAGGTGAAAGCGGACGTTGAGCCACGATAGGCCTATACTACCACATGCGCGATTAAAAGGCTGTCGTGTTTACAAATGGGGACATGCGATTAAATAGTGATTAAAAATATAGGCTATCACGGTTTACTTTCCATATTTAAACACATTTTCTGTCAGAATCGTCTAGCTTTAAAACAGATCACTTCTATAATAGAGAGAGAGAGAGAGTTTAATTTTTTATTTCAATAATTTGCTTGCGCGTAGGGGTCTTTAGCAGTGGGAGGAAACCGGAGGACCCGGAGAAAACCCACGAGGTTGGACAGGCGAACTTCTATAAGAAGCTTACAATAAATTTGTTAGCCATTGGAACTTCACATACATATTATGGCATTGCCTGTTCTAAAATGTGTAAAAGCACGCCACTTTCCGTTAAATGAAACTGACAACAAAGTACCTTAGGGCAATGTCAGTTGTATCAAATTAAGGGAGTCGTGGTGGCTCAGTGAGTAAGACGTTGGCTCGCTAACCTGGAGGTCCCGTGTTCGATCCTGGTGTTTGCTGAGAAAGTTCATCGGGATTTCCGGCTTGATTCCACCTTGTCAGTGGTGTACGACGGAGGGCCTTACGCGGAGCAATGTTTTGTCGTTCAGATGGGACAAAAATAAAAAACATAGGCATGCATGTACAAAAAACCTTGACAGTTGGAATTTGAAATAAGAGTAGGCCGTAGAGCCGCTGTTAGGGCATGGCGTATGTCGGTCTTCCTTATCCCAGTCGGTGCAGAAAAGTAGGACGTCAAACCCTATTTCATTTTATTTGTATAAAATAAAGGCGTTAGTTGTATGACGACGTATAGTGGTATCAGTACTTATAATGGTAAGTACAGGAGGACCGCACTACACACAAACAAACCCGTGGACACGACACGAAAACAACACAGACATTGCAAGCAATAAACAATAACATAGTAACATATAAAATATGTCAAAGAATAAAATATAACAGCTGAAAAAACAAAACCACAGAAGGAATTAGCGTTACGGAAACAATAAAGGAATAAAAGACACGTAACAGAAGGCATTAGCGCTAATTCCTTCTGTTGTTTTGTTTCTTCAGCTGTTATATTGTATTCTTTGACATATTTTATTCTTAGGCGCCTACGTCGCTCATAACACACTCTTGAGATCATAACTAACATACAGCCCACTTGAGGTTTACCTTGACGGATTGTTCTTTCCAATCCTGTACAATTTCTTCACACTGTAAAAGTTTGGTTTTTTCCATGTCTATTTTTTTCGCTGAGTACATTAATCCTTTCATATCGAGTTTACCATATAATTCTATTCGAACTGGTGAACCTTCTTTATCATGACCACACAGACCACCAGTTAAATACTTTTCTAATACCTGAAAAAATTATTCTGTTTTAGACAAAAAGTGTGATACAATTGACGCTGTAGGCCTACCAAAGATTTTGAATTTTTATCGAACACAACTTACAGTATGATCTACATTCAACAAACACTTTGCGGTTATATTTATGAGAAACGGTAACGGTTGTGCCATGTGTGCAGTATGCGATCATGTAGAACGCGTATTTTTCTCCTGTTGTTAAAGATACATTGTATATGTAAGATTCAGATATAGGGCTGTCCGTTCTTGCTATTACAGTTTAAATAGAGAATAGAAAATAAAAATGAATATTGACTATTTCTGTCAATTACTTAATTCTGTTATGGACGTTCTGACAAGAAATAGGCAATCATTCATTGGTAGATGAAAACTCAGCCGAGAGTTAATATTCTCGATTGTCGAGTACCATTGCCATGGTAATAAACTCAATCTCACTTTTCAGGCCTTTTATCTCCGGTCATATTAATGTTTAACGCAGATATGGCGGATATCGTCGAATCAGATCAATACCCAAGCCATTCAATTGTCCATAGTATAAGGCCTTGGCTTGTAAATAAATGTCTAAATAATAACATAATATAATATTTGAAGCAAGAAAGGCGTCCAGCAACTTATAATGACTCGTTAACATGGAGTTAACGGATCATTATCTTTAATAAAGGAGAGAAAGTCTGTTGCTGGTAGCTCCGTTAACTTGAAAATGTCGTTAACTTGCCGTTAAATTTAACGAAGGTGTTGGGCTCCGTTATCGTTAACTTGCCGTTATATTTAACGAAGGTGTTGGGCTGCGTTATCTGTTTATCGGCTGTACGTCGAAGTATACCCTTATACCCTTAGCAAAAAGGCCTATTGATTACTAGTGTAGTTTTCTATATAATTCTATAGAACACTCTAGAGGGTTGGGGTGGGGGCTACCCCATTTCCTATAGGATTAAATTCTATAGTATTCTACATAATTTGGGAGGGGGGGGGGCGCTGTAGGACATAACAGTCCACAATATTCTACAGTTCTTGTAGTGCAAATCTTACAATTGTTCCTACAGATTTATGCTAAAAATTCCTATAAAATACTATAGTATTCTATAGAATTTTTTTTATAGTGTTACATGAAGGCTACACAGCTGTCCCTCTTGTTAATATTAACTTAAATGAAGTTGTTATACATGAACTTTGAATTTATAAATTAAAAAATCGGCCTATGACTAAACAGTCTTCTCTTGGATTAACTTTAATCAGTCCGTTCGCCGTTAGATAATGGATGACTTTCCAGCAACAGAAATTTAACGGACCGTTAACAAACGACACGTTAGCAATATAACGATCAGTTTTGAGCAAACGGACCCTGAACAATAAATTATATAAAAAATATGAACACTTATCAGAATCATGAATCAAATGTTGTATTTCTATTTATTTGAGTCTTACAAGCAAACAATGACTTTCCGATTTGAGAAACGTTTTACATATTTAACTAAAGACCCACACTTTTCCATGTTGTATGGCCATTTATTTTGAGTCTGACAGGAACAACGTGAATCAGAACATTGTAGAGTTGTGTGCACTACGGCTATGATGGCCCTGTCTATTTTATGTGCTTTAGCATACCCGAATATATTTATATAATAATAATAAAAATGATGTACAAAAAAGACAATGTGGTTATAGCACATATCCTATTTGCTATCATTTCTTATAATTCAAATTTTGTATCGTTTGTCTTCGCGGTTGTGGGATCTTTTCAAATAACGATATTCTGTTTGATGTGATTCGGTGGAAGCGGACGTTAACCCCCATGATCGTGACCTATGACCAAATATGTAGTGGGCCTTAACTTTTAGACCTAACCCATTTCGTAGACTGTCTCTGTTCAACAATCAGTGAACTGTGTCATTATTACCATGCAATGATAATCGCGCTTGGTGCTTAAAGGACAATATTGGTGCCAGTCATTATCACATATGTGATAGAGCTGGTTAAACACATTCCAAATATAACTTTAACACAGAGATCATTGGTACGATAGCTGAGTAATACAGTTTTCTAGAATCGGAAGTGACGAACGCCAAAGGAAAACACGAGTCATCTCTCTATATAACTGGCTGATGTGACGAGTGATAACGGATATACGGGCGAATTTCTACTCACTAATAATTCATTCGAAGACCAAAAGTTTTTGTATGAGATTGTGAGAGGATATCTGACAATTCATAAAAAGAATTGAATGCCACCAGATAAGTGAACACGAAAGAAAAACAGAAAAAGTCCGTGCATTACCATGTTTTTATAAGGTATAAAATAAAATGAATATAAACAAGGGAATGTACGGACTATTTCTATTTTTCTCGTGTTCTCTTATCTAATGACATTCAATTACTTTATTGAATTGTCAGGTATCCTCTTACAGTCCCATATATCAACTTTTAGTCTTAGAAGGAATTATTAGTGAGCAGAAATTCGGCCGTATATCTGTTATCACTCGTCACATCAGTCAGTTATATAGAGAGATGACTCGTGTTTTCCTTTGGCGTTCGTCACTTCCGACTCAGGAAACCTGTATTACTCAGCTATCGTAGCAATGATCTCCGTGTTAAAATTATATTTGGAATGTGTTCAACCAGCTCTATCACATATGTGATAATGACTGGCACCAATATTGTCCTTTAAGTCAGCCAATCGGTGATTGCGTAATTAATCAACAGCCAGTATTCAACGGAAGTCATCCTTTTCACATGTTTTCTAGACGGGCAAACGTTGTGTTGAATTCAAGATAAATATTTCGAATGTCATGATATGTTAAGCTGAAAAAGAAATCATAAAAACCGTACTTAGACCGGTTCGCGTGTGCTGATTGAGAACAGACTTCTTACACGAACTTATCATGTGATAGTGCTATTTGTTGATAAAGACACTCCTAATAATATTTTTGTCAATTTCACGTCCGAAGTTCTAAAATAGAAAACGTTCATTTCTCCATTGTTTATACATTCTTGTCGAAATATCATACATTATGTTTAACTATTTAAATTGTTTACTTAGATATACATCTATTCATTTCAGATTGAAACCTGCAACTGTGCATCTGTAATCCTGCACCCCTCCTTGTATTTTGAAACTGTTTAAATAACGTGTGTGAACCCTACTACAAATTCTGTTCTCATCAATAAAACTTGAAATTACGTTATCTGTGGATCGTCAGTTTGAAGGTTAATGGGGTCGGTTTGGTTTCTTACATCAAGAATTAAGTCTGGGGCTACAGTCTTTGTCGCCAACCGGAATATATCAAAGCCAATGATGATTCTTCCGAGGAATACGTCACCATGGATGAAACATCTGTGGAGGAAGGTTGCTCACAACATTTTCTACATGTGGGCGACACTTTCCAATTTGTATACGAAATTGCGTTCATTTGTAACGCCATGTTCTATGAGGACATTTACCATGGTACGGTGCTCCTCAGACAGCTTTCTGGCAATATAAAATCCAGGAAACATCTCTGTACTTTATTAGAGCAAGAAATATTTGGGCCATTCTGGTGGTTCAGGATTCACAGAGGGAAATCTGCTACTGTGGATCAGATTGATGAAGGTGGGTCTTCTGGAGTTCCTGAAGAGGGGCCGGTAGGTATGTCGAGTAGTCTTTTGAGCCAAGCATCCTCTATTGCCAAGTAGCGATTCTTTAACTACGGTTCTGAATGCCACCCAGTCACACTCAAAGCGGTCATGCGTGGCTCTATCGGTACTCCAATCGAAGATTACTCATAAGGGGGAATAGTGCATATTTAACCTTAGATTGGACACTTTTTTAGAGAATGAACTTCGTCTGCCTGTTAACAAGATGACGCCTTTGGTAGTTGTTGGTTTTGGTGGCTTGAAGATAGAACTTAACAAAGTAACTGTTTTTGTTTTGACTCCTATCAGCCAATCTAAGTCCTAACTTTGTCTATTACCCGGGAAATCACTTCGTATTGAAGCCGTGATTAGCGAAGGCCCAGTCTGTGATACAATTTCTCCAGTCCATTTGAAAACTGACATTTCTGCAGTATTTCAAAGTCATCTACTTGCACGTTCACTGAATCAACAAGTTCGTGTCTACGTACTCCTTGGGGCTAATCATACTGCCTACCTGAAGCTGCAAGAAATAACATCTTGTCGTTTGCTCTCTCCAGTCTACCTCACCTGGAGCAATTTGGTGATCAAGAGGATGGTTGACTTTGTTTTGTCATGGATAGGTAAAAAGAGATTTTGAAACTAGATGAACGGAACATGCCTCTTGCATCTTGGGGTCTGGAAACGCCGGCCCCAACGTTAACCAACGGGGAGGAAACTGCTCAACAGAAATTCCGAGAGAGTGTCATTTTTGACCATCAAAAGGGATGCTATGAAGTAGCATAGCCTTTTCTCGGGGACTCAGATCACCAGAGCGGTTAAAGAAATACAGCAAAGATATGGAAGATTATGCCCAGAAGGGATTTCCTAAGCTAATGAAGCTCAGTGAAGAAGAAATTGACGGGGCTCTTAGTCAAGAACGTGTCTTCCTCCCTCATCATCCAGTCACGAATGAATCCATCTTCGACGCCTACCATAGTAAGTCGCTTCCACTCCATCTTTGATGTCTTCGGCTTTGTCTGCCTGTTCGCTTTACAGAATATGAAGATAATAGTTCAGGACCTATGGAAGCAACAATGTGATTCGGGTGACCTGGTTGCTGAGAAGGTACAGACCGCATACATAGCCTAGGAGAGCAAACTCTGAAAATTACAGGAGATTCAGATAACTAATGTCATCAAAACACAATTGTGTGGATTCGCCAATGCTTCATCACTGAGCTTGTTGCGGCACAGTTACTTGCCAAACTTGTCACCTTGCAGTTAATTTATGGACTGACAGGTCCATAGTTATGGCACGGCTTGCTAGACCCAGCTATGACTGGAAGATATATGCACGTAATCGGATTACTCTCTTGTCTGATGTAGAACGTCATCTGAATTGCCCGACCATTCACGTATACCGGCTCTGATCCAATGTCACTGATTCCAGGTCGATCGTTAGAACAGCTCCATGAAGCTCCAGCACAACTTAAGTCTTTCGATTCCTGTTACCGTCGACAACGTGAGATTCTTGAACAATTTTGGAATCGTTGGGAAACCGAATATCTTCCCACACTATTTCACGAAGACTCCAATGACAGCATGCTCGAGTTATCTCAAGAATCAGAAGTCGCGACGGAGGCATCAGAACATATCGTCTGCAAACTTCTAAAGGTGAAATGAATCGATTATTCAGAGGACCTCACCTCAGATCGTAATAATGCTATAGATTGTTCTCACGATAGTGTTTCTAATGAAAGCTCATCAGAACCAAGACTTGATTCGAACCAGGTCAATGCCCTCATTCGTTCAGGTGTTTTAGATCCCCAGGGAAGTGTAACCGCGTGCCGGTTAAAATGAATATTGTGCATCAAGTTCGTCCCCAATAGCTAAAACAACACGCAATCAGTGATTGCGTAATTAAACAGGGTTCATCCTTCCTGGTTCCAATGCTTCCCACCAAATTTGAAAAGCAGTAGGTTTAATCCTCCACAGTCCTGGTGCGTCACTGTGGTTGCCAGGCAAGATACGACCACGTTTTGCAAGAGATGGATAAACAGGGTTCATCCTTCCTGGTTCCAATGCTTCCCACCAAATTTGAAAAGCAGTAGGTTTAATCCTCCACAGTCCTGGTGCGTCACTGTGGTTGCCAGGCAAGATACGACCACGTTTTGCAAGAGATGGATAGAGAACAAGCTAAAAACAAAAGCGATTTTGCGTACAATAATCCAGAAAGTCATGATCTGAAAACCAAATATCGAAAGGGGCTGAGATCTCTGGGATATAAAGATATATTTTAAGTTTCATTAAAATCGGATAAAAACTGTGACCTCTAGAAAGTCCACAAACTTGGTATTATATACTTTTACACTATTTGCGTACAAGGAGCGGCCGTTTTGTCTGGCTGATTCGGTCAGATTTTTACGAAATTCGAACTCAACCTTCATTGATGTGTAACGGTGATATATTTAAACGGTTTTTAAAACGGTCCACAAGCTAAAAATATTTCGAACAACCAGGGGCCATAATCCTGGAAGTTACGTTCAGATATGTGCGATTATCGAAAGGGGTAAAGATATTTGGGATATAAACATCAGTTTAGATCTTCATCAAAATCGGATAAACGTTATGGCCTCTAGAGGGGGCGGCCATTTTGTCCAGCAGTTTGGTCCGATTTTCACGAAATCCATTAGGGTGTAACGGTGATAAATTTAAACCTTTTTAACATTGGATCAAAATTGTGACCTCTTGAGGGTCCACAGGCTAAAAATTAAATTTTTCGTAAAATCAGGGGCCATAATCCAGAAAATAAGAGTCCGATAATGAGCGAATATCGAAAGGAACCAAGATCTTTGGGTTATAAATATACATTTTAAGTTTTATCAAAATCGGATAAAAATTGTGACCTCTAGTGTGGCCACAAGCTAAAAAAAAGAGATTTTCATACCATCAGGGGCCATAATTCAGGATTCAGGGAGTCACGATCCGATATGAGCGAATATCGAAAGGAACCAAGATCTTTGGGTTATAAACATGCATTTAAAGTTTCATCAAAATCAGATGAAAATTGTGACCTTTACTAAAACGTGATTTTTCGTACAACAAGGGGCCATAATTCATGAAGTTATGGTCCAATATATGCCAATATTGAAAGGAACCGAGATTCTGGGGAAATTGACCTATATTTCAAGTTTCGTCAAAATTGGATAAAATTGTGACCTGTAGAGTCTCCACAAACAAATTGTGGACGGACGTCCGGACGGACAGGGGCGACGACAATATACGTCTACATGAAAATGTGGGCGTATAAAAACATTAAAAACTGTAGTCTCCAGCACGTTAACGGGGTTATCCTAGGTAAGTACGGGACGGAATATCGCTGAAGGCTGAATATCAATATAATTCCTCCTCTCATGACCCCAAAGCCACGCCACTTAATGTAAGCAAACCAAACAACGTATTGTTTCAAACCGCAAAACCAGACTGAGTGATCGACTTGGTCTTGTCTTACTATCTATAATTAAGGTCATACAGTAGTAGATGCGTAGATCTTGAAAATACGTTGTGTGGTTTTCCGAGTTGACCAAAAAAACCTTTATTATCACTTACCTCTGGGGGTTTGTAGTTATCTAAGATTGTGTTGACCCCGAGTTTCTTCCTGGTCAGATGACTCTAAAAAATAAAATATTTTTCTTGTCAAAAGTTCACAAGGGATTTATCGATATTATCTGAAAATACTGAATACAAACGAGGCAAGTCGACAAATCATTGTAAAGAACGGGACCTGATGAGATTTTAATGACTACTTCTGCGTATTTAAAAGAAATAATTCTGTTAAAGATACACTTAATGGACACGTTGTGTTTTATATTACAGAACTGAAAATATATACACGGAGAGTTTATTTACACAGTGATATAGATAATTAGCAACGGCTTGAGATTAAGGGAAGTTAAATATCAAATTGTATGCGAATACTTTTACAGTGGCGTATCTGCGGAAACACTCGAATACTCACGCCGAACCTCCTCTTTATCTTCATTATTTATTGATACCCACATTTGTTAATTGTGTAAATGTATTTCTAATCCTTAGATACTAGCTTCTTTAAATACCGAATTGTACATTCATTCAAGATTCTAGATTTTATCCCGTTTCCAGGACAGTCACTTTGTCTGTGGGATGTGTTGTTCTTGGTATATGTAGGCCGGTTGGGAAGGTTCGGGATTTTCCGGAGTCTGCAATCGCCGCTTTACATAAATAAGTATTTTTGGGAATAAATACAAACTCTAACTCTTTTTAGAAGACTGAACTTGGATCCAGTTTAGCTTTTACTCCTCTAAAAAGGGTTAGGGTTAGTATTCCCTAAAATACTCATTTATATAAAGCGGCCATTGTGGACTCTGGAAATTCCTGAACCTCCCCAACATACAATTAGCACACCTCCCATGGTAATTAACGCTTTGTCGGTATTAAGTAGTTTAAAGTATAATTCCTATGTATATATATTACCGAAGATATTTTTACTTTTTGGTCTTGAACCTGATTGTGTATATGAATATGTCCGTTTAGCATCTCACTAAATATCCATTGGTGTGTTCAAACATATTTTGTGCATAATTGGAAATGTAATGGACAAACCATACGAGGAGATTAGCATTTTTAACTGACGCTCGTTAGTACAGAATGCTTTACTCTATAAGTAAGTGGATTTTCGATAATAAGCTAAATCTAACGTTATTTTGAATCCAGATTAATTATATTTGTCTTCTTGTTGAAAATGGTAATGTCTCTTTAACTCGATCTTACGATACGTTAAAATTACGACCCAATCGCAAAATTGAAAACCTCTAATCATTCAGTAAAACACGTTGGATTCTATATATACTTTATTTTCTGATTGCAACATAATGATTGTGACATAATCTAAACTACAAAGATTGACATGAATTTGCTTTAGATTTGTAGGTCTTTTGATCACACCCAGCGTGGGCTCACGCAATCTCATCCTAGTACAGAAACACTGACAGGATAAACGTCAAATGAATCGAAGAAAATATAATTATACACAAAGCTTGGGAATATGCCCACTCAGTAGCTAGGTCTCGACAAAGAGAGAGCCACTGACAGCAAGTCGTCCGACATGAAAACTTGTATGTTGACCAAATACTATAAGGATGCCTTCGAGAAATTTGACCACTATCGTGTTCACAAGCTTGAGAAAACAAATCTGTTAAAAACTATACCCCCTATGACTTTTATCTCGATCTCATGGGGGGGGCCAAGGTGGGTAAGACGCTGGATCGCTAGCCTGGAGGTCGCGGGATCGCTCCCGGTGCTCCCGGTGTTTTCCCCTTGTCAGTTTTGTAGGACGGAGGGCCTGGCTTGGACATTGTCTAGTCGTTCGGATGGGACGAAAGACCGAGGTCCCGTTTACACATTGGCGTGCACGTAAAAGATCCCTGACAGTTGGAATTCGATGTAAGAGCAGTCTTTAACGCCGCCGTCCGGGCAAAATTTCCCTCATAGCACACTGTATGACGCATGCCCGTCTTCATTAGCCCAGTCGAAGCAGAAAAGTAGGACGTTAAACCTCATTTCATTTCATTTCGTTCTCATGGTCTTCTGGAAAAGGTGGGGGGTTGGATGGTCGAATGGTTAGCTCGTGCGCGCTGTATCATAAGGTCTGTCATTGAATTAACTGGTGTGGTTTCGATTCCCCGGTTGTACGTGACAAGGAGTGGGTTTTGTCCGGTTCCTCCGGTTTCCTCCCACTGCTAAAGACCCCTACGCGCAATGCTTAACACCAAATTTAGAATATACCTGTAGATAAATATATAGCTATTTGTTGACATACCGTCGGAGGGGTGCCAACATCCTAATGGTGCCAAAATGCATAAACATAATGAACGATTTCTCTAACTTCGAACACAAACCAGACCATATCCACGGCCTGAATATTTTGCAGAATCTTTGATCTTGGAATGCTTCCTGCTGCCCCCCCCCCCTCCACACACACACACACACACTATTCGAAAATCATGGATCCGCCTCTGAATAATCATCAAGTGTGTGGGAAAGGTTGTATAACTGCAAAAACGAGTTAAAACACCCAGGTGTGGAAACAACATGAAACTAACAAAATGTAATTATCATCGACGAATTAGTAACGAGGATGAGTAGAACAGACTGACAAAATTTAAATAACATCGACAGATTATCGACGGTTTATTAACGGAATTAGTATAGGGCAGACAAAATTTAATTATTACGGCAACTCATCAACATTTTATAACGGATACTCATGAAATATGTTCACGCGTAGTGTGTATTGATATTGGTAAGTAGCCTTTCCTCAAAATAACCCATGTTGACTGATGCTAACGGATGTATATTGATGCGATATTTAAAAATATCTTCCAGGTTTCAGATGTATTGCTACCGTAGTCAAAGATACATTAGTAAGTTCAACAATAAAAAAAAATATAATTTACTTCATTGAATAACGATATTCAAAGTTTACTAATTAATCAAAATCCAAGATATTGACGATCGCCCGCTGAACTGCAGAAGACCACAATTTATAATTAATACGGAATCTTAACAAGTCAGGAAATGGTGGCTTGATAGATCTGTCCCAAACTATACATGCAAACTATTTGTTTTACATAAAAAAAAAACATATACTCTTTCATCAAATCACGGCAGACTAAAAATTACTTTTGGAGTGAGAGAGAGAAATGGGTTTCAACGTCCACCTGACAAATACTAGGTCATTTCGAGACTAAGCCATGGTCAATATATAATTAGATATATATATATGAATAACCATTCTAAGTTGAATACTCTCATAAAATCAATTGTGTAATAATTGGATGGGATATAAAAAGTCAATAACCTAGATTAACATTAAGAAAAGTAATCAAACTGGTAATTTATTTAGTGTACGGATTAATGTTTTAGATTATAGTCGTTTGTCTTGATCTATAACTGTTTATTAAACCTTTATTAAAATTTACAACCATTTTACATTATCATAGAATTACTATAGAAATTGTTTGTTTGTTCTTTGGGGTTTTTTTTGTTTTTTGTTTTTGTTTTTTTTTTGCCAGTCGTCCACTCACTATAGACTGGCAGATAATATCAAAGCCAATGGTAAACTCCCACCAACCAATCCATTGCCATCTATAAGGTTGCGTCTGGGAAGTTCTCGGTTCATGTGACAGCACATATAGTCGACCGCCAGTGCCCAAGAGACTTACACAACATCGGTTTAAGCCATCCACAGAATGAAAGTATAATAAAATTCATTTATTAATCTATTTTATGAAACATGTGAATTTTAGTTTTTTGTTGGTTGTGGCTTTTTGTTGGTTGTGGCGATGTAGCTGATGAAATTAAATGTTAAATTTCAGATAACGACTGTGATGGCCCATTCCAGGCCACGTAATTCATGATTGGGGGTGGGGGGATCTAGAGCACATATAATCAAATGAAGTGAAAATGATGTCCTAAGCCCCTGCTTCTGGGTTAAAGATAATTATGGACCAAGGTCACCGACAGAGTCGCTAAAAGTACAAGATCTAAACCATATTGCAATAAAAAGTCTGCGTGCTGTGAGATGCTGAATTGATGGCACTATGATTAATTTAATTAATTACACATTTTACTTACCGCTCTATACATATCCTCTGCTTTCTTCACATCAAAACGACGAGCTTAAATCAGAGAACCAATATAGAAAATGAAATGAAATGGGGTTTAACGTCCTATTGTTCTGCTCCTATTGGGCTAATGAAGACGGGCATACGCCATGCAGTGTGCTATGAAGGAAGTTTTGTCCGGACAGCGGCACTATGGTCTAATTTTACTTCGAATTCCAACTGTCAAGGGTTCTTTTACGTGCATGCCAATGTGTACACACGATCTCAGTTTTTCGTAACATTCGAACGACTATACGTTGTCCCTTGCCAGGTCCCCCGTCCTACATCACTGACAAGGGTGAACCACACCGGAGAATATCGATGAACTTTTTCGGCCAACGAGGAATCGAACATATTGAGGCCTCGAGGTTAGCGAGCCAACTTCCTACTCGCGGAGCCACCGTGGCTCCCGAGAGAAACAATACAAGCTATATATTAATTTTCACTTGTTTAATGAAAAAGTCCCCGACTTTATATAATATTCGTTGAGACAAGTAAATTTATATCGAGGCAAATCAAAACATTATATTTTATATATTGTCTGAAAGTTCCAATTAAAATATCGTCCATTTAGAAATTCGTTATTTAATATAATCATATGACTGTCGTGAGACAACCGTAATCGAAAGAAACTTTGTAATTCCTCGAAAAAGTATCATGAATTATAGCTTTTCAGATGATATTAGTATGGGATTAAGATACAGATTTCTAAGGGACATCCACATTAACCAGTTATATAGCTTCGAATAAATCGATGTTTATTACGGATTTTCTAATTGGGGGTTTGACAAAAAAATGACGGCTTACAGAAAAAAAAATCGAAATTAATGATTTGAAAGTGAACTCCCTTACTAAAAGAAAAGAAAAATGAAATCGAAACATATCAAATTGCATCCCTTTTCACATCGATCTCCTGTGTAACATCGTTTGAAGTATGTGCGTACACAAAATCACGTCATAAAATTGACCTATAATAGTATGTAGAAATAAATTACTAGTACTGAAATGTCGTCCTATAAAAATAAATGTCAAGATGAACTTAACGTCTAAGGGTCATCTGCCGTTCTTTAGTAATAAATTCGCTATTTTTTTTTTTTTTTTTTTTTTTTTTCGTTTAGTTATTTTATATTTTTATCAAAAGTGGATAAAAAGAGAACATAATTGTTTAGGTGGTTGAAGTACCACCCTTGACCCACCCTTGCAAAACGGTCAGCTATCTGAATAAATATTGTTCACTGAAGTCAAAACATTTACCTTTTAGCCATTTTTTCAGATACAAATCATCACAATTTGGTGGTAAACTGTCCTGAATTTTATTTTTAAACTAGAACAAACATGATATTAGGATGTATAATAATAAAATGAATGACATTCTATAAATAACAAGATATTTAATTTATTTTTCGGAAAATACGAAGAATTTGAACTAATAGAAATACTGTGAAGGTTCGTTTATACCTCACTTTCAGGATACATTAAGGTAATCTTAAAATGAGAGAACAGCATCAGTTGAGTGGTGTAATGTACTGTTTTTTTGTTTATTATCATATAAAAATAATAAATAATTTTCATAACAAAATAGATAAAATATTCGATTACAATTATATAATTTTAAGCATCGAATATTAGAATATAAAAAGGTTGGGGATGGGGGGAATTATTTATGAGTTGTACTCGCAAAGATAGTCTTGAATAACAAGTCACTCTGGGAGGGCTTGATATTCAAGACTATGGCAGTGATATATGGACACAGATCACTAAAGATTTCCCCATTGACTCCAATGTTAATTCTCGTATCTTAGACCGGCTCTAACTTTTTCCCAAATTTTCGTTGGGTAGAACGCTTTCTACCACAGATGGAGCAACATGTGGCAACCACTTGCCCAAAAGCACGTATGAGGTTCTTCATGAAAAACTTGAGATACACAAGCTGGAAGTAGAGACAAGTAAACATGCAATTTCAGGCCCTACATTTCAACGTAACCAACCTCTCAACTCTTGTATCCTTCCGCATCAAAATTATGAATATTCACCAAAACCTGGCAGAAAATGTATTTTCAAACCCTTTTCCTCAATTCTATACCAAAAAGTCAACAAAAATCGCCATGCAAAAGGGGGAAAAAGGAAAAGGGAGAGGAAGACTAAAAATAGCTTTGGCCCTTGTTTCGTCGTAGGAATATTTGGTGATCTGTGTCCATATAAGGCACCTTAAAACATGCGCTGTGTCTACGATATCACCTTAGGTGGAAGTGGACGTAAAACACCAGAAAAAAAACGATGCGCTGTATCACTAATCGTGATTTAGCGCGTAATGGATTCAAACCATATAGATCATAGTATATACATAATTCATCTGTAGGGTCGGCTCATATAAAAGCTAATGCATGCAATACTGCTAATAATTACGGTACATGAATACATACTTCACACGGCATCACGAGACGAAGTCTTAATATGCATATTGTGTTCTAGTAATATTATTCAATATAACGTGTACGGGTAATTTATTTAGCGCATGCTAACGTGTCGCCGAACACTTGAACGATTGACTTACAGGTAAATTATGCATATAAACGGAATACTAAATATTATGAATAAATGATTATACAATGTTTGTAATAGGGTTGTAGGTATTTTACTCTACTACAATACATCGAATAGACGAAATATGTACAGAATACTTGTTATGGTTAATTGATCAATGGAACTAATTTACTACACATTTTCGTCTTTCTTTCACCCATTTCCTACGTTGTATTTTGCTATTCATTTTTTAAAAAAAGTATTTATTCATTATTTACGAAAAATCATTAACTTTCCTTGACTAGCACTGGTAGTGTAATTAGAACCAATTTATAACATTAAAGCCTTAATACGCCAGAAGAACAATATTCATTTTCTTTATTTATTTGAAATATCTCCAAAGATAAAAATGAAATGAGTTATCCTTTAAATATTCAGTAACAATAACAATAGCAGCGTGAAATCAAAAGAAAGTAGTGTTTGGACCAAAGTGGTTTTGTTTTAGTAAGACAGCTTGTGTGCAAGTCTACGTATTCCTTCAAGTTTGAAATTTTAATGCGCTTTTTCAAAACGATATAGATTACCTCTTGCAAAATTTGTTCTTCCTTTTCTTCTCGTCTTTTGCTTTTATCGTTACACGGTGGTTTGTTTTTGTTTTTCTTGTTGTTCATGTTGAGAAACGGCAGTAAACAGTTGAACTGTAAAAATCAAAAACAGTCATAAAATAAAACAGCCAGGAACTGAGCGTAACATCACGACAGACTTCTTGGAATTGTGACGTCATATAAAACAATTCAAACAATTCAAAACAATTCGATACACAATTACCCAAGGAACAAGCATGTGTCATGTCGTCCGTACTTGAATTGGCCGAGCCTTCGGCATTTTTCCAAGTTCGCCAAGAGCGTTGCCCACCCCAAGGAAAAGAACAAGAATAACAGGAAGAGTAGCGCTTGGGGCCCAGGTCCTGGTCCAAATGTTTTTATAAAGCAGCAAATTCATAAAATAACTATTGTACCATGCTACTGACACAATCTGCTTATAAACTAGGACACACTACTGAGTCTGCTTTACTATGTGTGCAGACTGACATTCTCCAGAATCTTGATTCTGACGGGGCGGCCATATTGGTTTTATTAGATTTATCAGTTGTCTTCGATACGATGGACCATGACTTCCTGTTGCAAGCAGACAGGCGGATAGGAATAACCGATGATTCCCTCTTGTGGATGAAATCTTATCTCTCTGTCCGTTTCCAAGCTGTGGTGATCAATGGCGCTGAGTTATCAAAGTCTGAATTGAGTTTTGGAGTTTCACAAGGACCCGACCTTGGTCCCATACTGTTTACATTACACCCTTTACCTGTAGGAGATATAGCTAGATCACATGGCGTTTCTTTCCACCTCTACGCAGATGATACCCAACTGTGTTTGGGATTCCGTCCACTGAACGCAAAACACCAAACGCAAACAACTTTCAAAGTGTATTGAAGATATCAAGTGCTGGATGACCAGTCATTTCTTGATAGTAAGGGAGCTAGGTTCGTGTTGTTTCGAAATTCGACTACAAAATTTCTACTATGCTAGATGAGTGGACAGCGGTGCTCGATACTCTGAACATTGATTCTTAAGTTCCGGGTCCCCTTCCCGTGTGTGGGGGGGCGGGGGGGTCCGACAAAACGTCGAAATTTCGAGTTTAATTGGACTTTTGGGTACAACAATCAACTTTGCCGATTTAATTTCGCGTTCTTAAGTTAATGTTATGTTCTAGCGGACCAATAGTGAAACTTTAACCTTTTAAGAAAAACAATAATGCTGTACGCGAAGTCGAATTAACTCATCTCTCAGGGGGTGGGGGTGGGGGGTAAAGGGGGTGTTCTTAAGGGGGGGGGGGGAAGGTCGGGGTCTTCTTAAGCAGTGTTTTTGGCGACATCTAAGTTGGTCGACTTATGCATGAGAGTTGATTGTTGTACGCAAAGTCGAATTAAACTCAAAATTTCGACGTTTTGTCGGCCCCCACCCCCGTTGGGAAGGGGACTCGCAACTTAAGAATCAAGGTTCAGAGTATCGGGCACCACTGTCCACTCATCTAGCATAGTAGAAATTTTGTACGCGATTTTCAAAACAACCTGAAAGAAGCTCCCTTACTATGAAAATGCAATGAAGACAAGACTGAATTTTTAATGATATGTCCAAAATTAACACGTACAAAACAGAGCAGATTCAACTAACTGTGTGTGACTCAACAATTAACCCTAACACAAGCGTGCGAAACCTTGGTATCGAATTTAACTGACAATTTAATTTAGAAACACATGTACTTTAAGATCAGCCGATCATCTACCGTTGGCAGTGGCATCCAAATCAAGATCCAGGTATGGAGATCGTAACCGTTGTCAGTGGCATCCAAATCAAGATCCAGGTATGGAGATCGTAACAGCGTTTTTTGTCACGAGCTATAATGCATCGTGTCAATTCGTACTAATGAGTAACTGCATAAATTGGAGCTCTTTAAAGTACATGAATATTTAGTGGTCGCCATCATGTTACTGCTCTCATGTTGCTGTTTTATTGATATACCTGGTTTGACTTAGAATACACCCAGTGGACTAATTTCTATCAAATATTTGAATCAGACGAAGAAAAAAAAACGTTCAATCAATTAACTAAAAGTCATAAGCCATTGGAGACATCTTGTACATCCATAGTCAATCTATGGTGGCTGATAGTGGCCATATTAAATCTCCCCCGTTTCATAACGCGACAACACGACATCACGACAGTATTGACGCAATCACACGACACTTTATTCTGTCGTAACATCGTGTTATTTTTGTCGTAACGTCGAGATGTCGACTTGTCGGCTTAGTCTCTTTCTACAAGTCACAATAATACAGCTGTATTCATTACATCATATCATAAGTAGCACCATAGGATTAGATAAATATAAATAAGACTCGTGCAAAAGTGATAATAGGAAACCTTGATTAATTATTTGTTTTTTCAAAATAATGAAACAGTTTACGTTCAAAAATGAATTATATTTGATATTATATTTCAAAAATATAGAATTACAATAGCAGGACCAAAGTGAGTAAGCTATATTAATTTCTTGAATAAGAAGTGGTGTCGGGAGGTATCGAACCAGTAAGCATACCTTACCTCGTGTACGATACCCACCAATACTTATAGATGACTAGAGCGATAGTTTAGAAGGGGTTTCAGAAGATTTCCCATTTGTTTTATTACAGGATGGGAATTGTAGAAAGCCTCAAACCGCATTGGTGTAGCACGCCTCCCATATAGTTGCAGTCTGGAGTTCGCAACAAACGCAGGCGACCGTGCATGACTAACTGAATGACACACTTTATGATCTGTTGTGTTAGAACTCCCGGCCCCTAAACAAACAACAACAAAATAACAAGCTCGGATACCAAATTTGAATCAAAAATGCATATAAAAATAAACACTTCCTACCTTTAACAAAAACAGAAGAATGAACTGTATAATGTCTGTAAATTTAGTACAACATATTGAACTCACTTATTTCTCTGAAGTTCAACAGCCAAGTTCATCAATCGGCAGTCTCGTGTGAAGAAGTTTTTGGGACACTATAACACCTTTCATTTGAAAAAAAAAATCCAGCCATTGGTTGATAACTATATCAGCTTCCCCACACTCATTGCTTGAGCAAATCATTAATTATTATAAGTCTTATTATGGGTGCGGTAAAATCATGGCATGCAATATCTACTTTGTTCAAGATTCCTGGAAATCAGCTTTGCGTGCCATCAGGACATTATCGTCAAATTACTTTCATATTTGGTTATCTGAATGATCTTATTGGAAATCAGTAGTAAAGTTAATGAGTAGATCGATGTAATTATGTACTTTTTAAGACGAAACAAATGACCGTCGACATTACAATAACTCATTAACAGGTCTTATGATAATCATGGAGGCGATAAAAGAAATGGTGTTGTTACTGTATACCAAATACTGGACACTTATAGGAAAATTCATAGAAATATAATTTCATCCGCAGTTCATATCTGGCTTCTACAATGCATCGTCCAGAAATTTGAAAGCTTATGTCATTACCAATTCTTCCATACACAGTTGCGGGCCATTGGTTAGTGCCTCTTTTGTTGATGTCACCAAATAAATGTCCGTTTTAAGCAATACACATTCAAAGAATTATGTTGTATAATTGCATTCATTAGCGTATCAGCTCTATTATTGGCTCATAATTGCAACGGTCAATGTTGCAGACGAATTAACTGTACATAAGGCCAAGTACTGAGAAATATGAGAAAGGAAGTTAATTTAAAAGTGTAAAACCAGATGAAAGAGACGTCTTATTAAAATTAAATGTATTAGGTGATCTATGGGAACAATAAGAATACCCTATCTCGATCACATGATTATATTATGGATTTTGTAAACAATAGTCGAGCGGTGTGCCATGGCAGGACTCCTTTACTAGACTGTCCCAGACCTGTGAATCCCGGTTCCCATTTGTCAGGGACAGCGCCTGTGTTTGCTGGCGGGGAAAGTGTGCCTGGTCGTTGTGGAGGGACGAAAACCCCAGATTTCACCCATGTTCATATTAATTACATGTGAAGGAACCGCTGATTGCGTTGACATAAACTTCTCCACCTCCCTATTGCACAAGTAACCACAGAAATACAAATGTTTGTCTTAAAATAATCAATTTGATGTATATGGATCAGAAGTTAATTCTATTCCATGCTTTTAATTTGTTGTTTATGGTCCATATTTTTCAATGACACAGTAATTATTATGACTTCTATAATTATATAGATATTATGATCGGATTTAATATGTTTTTGCTAGAACAAACTGAGAAGAAAAATGTTTCCTTTCCTGTTCTTCCATTCTACGAAGTAACCTATTTCCTTCAATCCTAAACCCATGCTAATCATGAACTGGTTGTGGTCGGTTACTTTTACAACTATTTGTGATCAGTTGGTATCTGATCTAATTATTAATGAACGGTGCAGTGAAGGTTTTGTGAAACAAATAACTTTCTGGTATTCTATCTCGACGATTCGACGGTCAAATATGCAATTAATTAATGACATCATATCTAGGGCGTACATATCGATTTTGTTTGGGAGGGGGCGGGGTGGGTGTTCAGCAAAAAATCAGACCGGCTGATACACAGGCCTCTAATACGAGTGATGCAGTCGTGAGGCGAGCACCACAGGTGCAAGCTTTATAAGGGGTGGGGGTAGGGAGTGGTATACTTGCTTTCCCGGAAAATTTTTTGAATCTAGAGTCCCTGAAATGCCATTTCCTTGAGTATGCAGAAAACACTTATAACATGAGTAAAACTGAATACTAGGCATGGGAATTCATGTTATTTATTAATAATTATTCAAGAACGTGCAAAGTACTGTGAATCTGTGAGAATTTCTGAAAGTGATAAGTACATCATTTGCATCAACCTATATCTTCGATATACTGTTGTGGTGAATATAAAAAAATAGCAAAGATATCAATATATGTCATATTTTCATCAAGCCTCGGCTCCGCGCTTAGTCAAGTTTTACCTCCGATCGGCGATTTTATCAATATTGATCGTGTCCGTAAATATATTTTTAAACTATTACAATTACAATTGTTTCTTATAGTCTTATAGGATACACTGCAGAACAATAGTGAATGTTA